CCGCTAGTTTGATTTTCGTTTTATTGGTGATATACTGATCAATATCTAAATTTGAGATGATGGATGTTATGGAATTTAGTAGCAATTTTGATGTTAGTAGTTCCAAATGTGTCAGAATTGGATCCTTTTTCTTATTTGGATTTAACAAATTAAATAGCAATTTACGTTTCTTGGTGTGGAATTTTCCCTTTGGATAGTTTGTGTGCTTTAAGTTGCATGGTTCACAGTGAAGAAATGAATTGATTTCTTGCCATGTATGCTATACATGGAGCATGTATATGCTTACTTGAGTTTGGTGTTTACGCTCTTATTCCACCAATTTCATTTTTTAATTGGAATTCAATGATCCCTTGTTCAGGATAGTTCGATAGTATATTGCCTATTTGGCTTGTTTATAAAATACTGTAATGCTAACGAATTTATATGTAGTTTTGTAGAGAATTTCTTATGTTTATGGAACTTTATCCCCAAACATATAACATGTGCTTTTCAACTCAATACTTCCTATAAAGTGGTAATGTTTATTTGTGAGGAAAAGGACATGTTTTGAGGTGGATAAGCACTACCATTGATAATGGTATGCTGATTACTAACAAAAGTACATATTAAATTATTTTTGTTACTATGATCAATCACTGCCTACCATCTATTAAAAACATGACTGTAAGGGACATAGTTAGGAAGGATATGGACGTATGTGGGTAGGAACTGAAATAAACTATTTGTTAAGCAACTATGGGGTTAGTGTCATGTGGTGATATAGTGACTGAAACCAATCTCTATGATGGGCAGTTCTAGAATAAATCTGTGAAGATAATGGTCATGCTTACAATGATTGCGTCAAATATGTGGATACTGGATATATTGGTACATGATTCACTTTGGAAAATGACTTGCTACCACACCTGTATGGTTTTTTTTTTTTTTTTTTTTTTGGAGAAATCACACCTGTATGCTTAAGTGGGGGATTCTGAATTGTTTCTCTATAATATTGAGATGTGGGAAATGTTAGACCTCATATTGCATATGCTTCCAATTTCAGAATTGTTCAATGTCTTGATTTTCTATTTTTCCCTTTCTTGAAATGTATATTACCTTTGAGTTACAAGGTTGATAATTGGGTTTGGTGTAATATGTTACTGTCAGTAGCTATCAGCCTATCACATAGATCATCATGTAGTGGGAGACTGGGAGGCATGTGTTTATTACTTTAGTTCAATATTTTGTATATATGCAATATGGTATTTACACTTGAGTGCAAAAGTTAGGCTTCTCATGACGTGAGATGGAATGCTATGCACATTATTGAACAAATGTATAAGATTATCTTCATTGTGCATTTATAATATGAGCATGCTTATTTTGCTGGATTTGGCACTGTGTAATTTGAGCTTATTATGTTGCATGTTTTATTACCAAGTATATGTCCACAAATATTGGTGGAATTATCTGTGCTATTATAACCAAACAACTTAACTGCTGCAAATCTTGAGTTGTATGGAAATGCTAACAAGACTACTTGCTGTCTCAGGAGATATTCATGGTCAGTTTTCTGATCTGCTTCGTTTGTTTGAATATGGGGGCTTACCACCTGAGGCAAATTATTTATTTTTGGGAGATTATGTAGACCGTGGTAAGCAGAGCATAGAGACCATTTGCCTTCTTCTCGCATACAAGATAAAATATAAAGAGAACTTCTTTCTTCTTAGGGGAAATCACGAATGTGCTTCAATAAATCGCATATATGGGTTTTATGATGAGTGCAAGAGAAGGTATAATGTTCGCCTTTGGAAAGCGTTCACAGACTGTTTTAATTGTCTGCCTGTTGCTGCACTTGTGGATGAAAAAATCCTTTGCATGCATGGAGGATTATCACCTGATTTAAAAAATTTAGATCAGATCAGAAATTTAGCTCGACCAGCAGATGTCCCAGATCAGGGCCTTCTTTGTGATTTGTTGTGGGCTGACCCTGAGAAAGAACTTGATGGCTGGGGAGAGAATGATAGGGGGGTCTCATACACTTTTGGAGCGGACACTGTCTCAGAATTTCTTCAGAAGCATGACATCGATCTAGTATGCAGGGCGCATCAGGTAATTGCTCGGCATTATGATTTATTGCTTTTGCTTGATGTAAAAATTGCCTGTAGAAGTGGGATGTAATATTGAGTTATTCTGTAATTCTTGTAATAGTTGCATCCTCGATATTGCTTTTCATGTTTTTATCTGATTACTTGGCTGTTTACGTATAAATAAGGAGTATAAGTGGAAGCCCACTGATTGCTTACAAATTTCACCTTCAATGAAATGGTGTATGTATTGTGTTTGTGTGAGTGCAATGTGTCATCCTTTTTCCTTCCTGCAGTTAAAGGGGTCTCTGTAGGGGTTTGCCTTTGTCTAGCGTTTAGGAGAAGAAGATAGAAACCTTGGGGAGATTTAATGATTGAAGTAGTAGCAATTTCTTTATCTTATCTTTGTGGAGCACCTGAACTTATGAAGGCATAATTTTATATATGGGCAATATGGCTTTAGACTTAATGTTAGCAATTCTGCCGTCTCATCTAATTTGGATGTAATCCTGAGATAAGCCTATGTGTGGGGCCTTTATATTATGTTCGGTACTGAACCAACCCAAATAACGCGTTGTAATTATCATTCCATTCTATTTAGATGGCTGCTTTACTATATACAAGCACACTACATAGCACTTCTAAGCACTTATGTAGTTATATTGTGTTTTGATTATAATTGGACTTGCTGATGATCACCTTACTTTCTGTAATATTTAACTATCCTTGGGGAGTTCTCAGACAACTTCTTTGGAGAGTTTGCTTTATAATACTTTCCCCATGGCAACATATACTACTCCCTCATAATATGATGCCCGTTTCTCATTTTTCACAGGAATTAAAGATAGTAGAGGGAGTGTGTAATGTTCTTAAAAGTATGGACATTCTATATGGGAAAGGTAAAAAATTAAATAATGGCACGAAAATTTGGGAAAATATAGAGTATTTTATATGGGAAAGGTAAATATATGGAAATATAAAAAAGCAGGAACAACATTTTGGGACACCTAAAAAGGAATGTAGGCATTATATTAGGAGTAAACATGCTTCTTGTTGGCTTTCTAACTTTTTTTTCCCTCATGTTGTCCGTGACATTTCTTTTTACCAAGGCTTTTTATTTCTGGTCTCTGCTGCTTCCGGAACATTTTAGCTAATTGTTCTATGTTCTTGTGCTATTTGTGACAAAATGTGTCCTCAGGTTCCACTATTTTTAATTAGTTCTCTCTTTAATTTTCATTAGCTAGAATATAATCAATTATCCTGGTTTGGATTTTTCAGCTTATCAACATTTCCTGGTTGTGGTTTGTCTCTTTGTCACCTTCTTGAGGGGCTCTCTTCTCATATATGAACAAATTTGATTCATCGCTTGTAGTGTGAGAAAATGTGGGACTCTAACTTAGTAGGTTATAAATTTGAGGTTGGGGCGGGTTCAAGCTATCACTTATTTAGTAAATTTTCATGCAAAGCATCCAAATCAAGGAGACTAATGCCTCCTATCTCTCCTTGCTGATTCACAAATTATCAGGTTGTGGAAGATGGTTATGAATTTTTCGCCAATCGCCAGCTTGTGACCATATTCTCCGCACCAAATTACTGTGGGGAGTTTGATAATGCCGGAGCCATGATGAGTGTGGATGATTCCCTGACATGTTCGTTTCAGATCCTCAAAGCTTGTGAAAAGAAAGGAAAAATGGACTTTAATAACCATATGTTGAGACCTGGGACTCCACCGCGAAAGGTAAAAATGCTTCAATAGCAGATTATGTTGTACTTGTAAATTCTTATCAGTGAACTCTACTATTGATCAGCTGTAACATGTTGGTCAATATCATTGGATTATCACCAGATTGGTGAGTTAACGTTACTAAAACAAGTCTCCTGGTTGCAGGGAGGGAAAGGTTAACAGGCTCATGATATCCAGCTAGAAGCTTCCCTGTCAACTCAAAATCTGCTAAATTACACAAGCGATGCAATGTCATCTGTAAGAGAGGCGACTTTTTCAGGATCCTGTGTTTAGTCAAGCAATATTTGACCGTATTTTGTTGTAATAGCTAGTAACTAATGTTAGATCCCCCTCCCCCTATTGAATCTCCTCTTATGGCTCAAGAGTTTTAACTCTGGAAGATAGCAGAAATGAGCAAGCCAAAATTGATGTTCAGATACTTGACAGTTGACACAAGTGGTGATTTCACTTGCTACAAATTTAGTACTCCTTATTTATTTTTGAAAACAGTGATTAACCTGAATTTGAATTTCCTTTGACGTGGTCTTTGGAAGAGTGGGAGCAGAGATCTTGTGTTAAGGACTTGAGGTTTAATGAGAGTTGGACAGGATGTGCTCCAATTTTTTTGGCAAATAGAATGTGTGCATGCCCGTAAAGTGGCAGGGCATGAAAGTTGGGCATGAGATGCACGGCAAGCCATAACTTTGATGGAGTTGTGGGTATAATGCAGGTAAATCTGCATCTGTGACTTGTGAGGGATGTATGGAAAATCAGTTTTAGTCTTAATAAACGTCTAATTCTGTTTTATTACAAGAGCAGTATCGCCTTCTCTAGTCTTGTTAACGAAACAAAATAAGCAAATTCCTAGGCTTGAGGTTAGATTTTTGCTTGATTTGTCTGCGCCTTACGGCCTAAGAGTATGTCCAAATTTTTAACAGTGATTTTCGAACACGAGTTGGTAATTATTTTTTTTCTTATATGTGGAATTCGCTTCACTTGAATTGGATGCAACTATTGCTTCCATTGCTGGATTATCGAACAATAATGGCAACCCTTATTTCTTTCCTTAAGAAAATGTAAAGTGATCAAAATCAAGGCACCACTTGGATCACACCACGGATTAGAGCTGATAATACACAGCCATAGTGCCAACAGGACAATAGTATCGTAGTTTGATGTAAGCTTGATGCTCAATTTAGGAAGCTGGACAATTAGTGTAAATGATTGATAAAGCTATATACTAACGTTTTTTATTTAATGTTTCTATACATACATAAATTGAAAACTAGTTACTACAAAACAGAAGATGCTCCTCTTCAAGTGAGGACTCATCATCTAAGATTGACACCCAAGTTTCTACTACCCTAACTACTTTGCCACCTGAAAAATCTACCACTGTGAATGCCCGAATTGTACCTCCAGAGCTTGGATACTTCACTCTAGGAACAATAGCAGCATTTAGGTACATGGTTTCCCCATCCATTGCTATCATCTTTCGAGAACCTCCGCAAAACAATTCTTTATGCATGTGCCCAAACACTATCAAAGGAATGTTATAGTTGGTGGTCTCTTTCAATTGCAAAATTGCTTGTGCTAGATCTGTATTATAGCATGAGTAATTTAAACTCAAGAACTTGACATATATTATAATTCATCTAGACACAAATATATAGATTAATAAATAGAACACATATTACCTGAATCCCCATGATCTCCAGCTTCTGGCTTCCAATCAATGCCGCATATGTCATCTTTGCCAGAACCAAGACCTGCATCAAACAAAAATGCAAGATTTAACAAAGCACTACAATTTTTGTATCTCAAACACATTGTATAAGTAGTTTACTTTTATATCTAAAAATTGGGTCAAAGAATTTTGTAAATCCACAATTAACCAAGATACCATACTATACATATTTGGGTAATTTCATGCTATACAAATTTAATTTGATATCAAAATCCAATGGGTATATCATGACAATTTGTTCATAATAGACATGAATATTCTGATTTTGAATAAAGTTTACTAGATTTGGAAACTCAAATTTCAACTCAGTATCAACAAATGAGTGTTATGACTGATGAGCAAATGCAAATTTACAGAAATTATCAATTTGACTTTTTTTATTATAAACTTGAAGAGAACTACGAAGTATTGATTTGAGACAAAGTGTAGCTAAATATTCACCACCAAGTTTTACCTCTTGGCCCATTATGTGAGAGAAGTATTATGGAATTTTCCTTTGGAGTCCGTAAAGCAGCCTTGTAAATTTGTTCAGCACTTTCTTCCATGTTATGTACTCCATATCTGAAAATACATATACCAGCAATCAACTACAATAGCTAGCATGCAAAGGACAAAAATTAGCAAGGAAAAATGTAACTGATTAACATTCCATTTCACACAGATTATGCAACAATAACCTATGCTACAACTCAAGCCTGCCATTATAGTTTTGTACCTGGCCATTATAAGCTTTTTCCTGAAAAACTGATCGCCTCCACAAGAAAATGGTCTCCCACCTACAACACTATGCTTTAACGGAGGGAAGTCCAAGCAGTCATATCCAACATGTGCTTCACCAAGGTATTCCAGCTGAAGTTGAACTCCATCTTTCTCCTTATTGGAGAACTTACTAGTAGACCAGGCATCATGATTTCCAAGTATTGCTCCTTTAGGGAAATTAAGCTTCGCGATACTCTTTACAAGCTCAACATTCTCATTGCCAAAGTCACCTGTGAACAGCACCAGATCAGGCTGTAGAAATTGGAGTGCTTTGGAGTCATGTTCTAGTGTCCATTCTTCATGGGTGTCTCCAATGACAACAATACGGAAAGAGGAAGACATAGATGATGATGATGAACAATGACTTTCATCAGTAGATGGCTCAAACAGAGGCTTCATGGCAGGAAAGAACAAGACTTCCTGTATGCTTCGGGAATCAGTCACCAACATTGCTAGATAATCAATACCCAATTCCCAACTAGCAGAAGGAGGCAGCCCATACTCAAGCGCTGTACAAGTCTCATCCAAAACCACTGCTCCACCATCTGATTGTGGATCTTTCAGTTGATCAGTAAATCGTCGGTGCTGTACCATTGGATCATTTGCTTCAGTGCAACCATTGCAAAGCACATTTTTGTTCACAAACAACTTGAAATACTCAGTCAAGCCAGGCTTTGATCTGTGGCACTTGGCCAAAGGATGAATCATTTCTGGATAATCCATAATGAAGGTTGGATTTAAACAAGTTTCCTCCAAAAAATGTCCAACCAGTTTATGAAGCAAGCGAGCTGATGTTAGTGGAGGCAGACATTTCACATCATATTTCGAGCATACATCCATCAAAAATTTGTTAGCTTCTTCACTAGCTAAATCCTGTGGTATGGATAGCTGAGTAAATTTTTCTAATTCATCTATCACATTAATCCTCCTGAAATTCAACAAGTGAAGGTTGTCATAGTGTTCAATATCCAAGAATATGAATAGTAAGATGCAGCCAGCACAAAAATAAACGGACACAATGTAACAAACCTGAATGGAGGTGTAAAATCAATCTCAATGAACTCCTTATCTGGGTCATTTGAATGACATTTAATAATGAAACTACCAGTTAATACCTTCACTATCTCACTCAACATCTTTTCGGTCAGCCACATCAGATCATTGTAATCTGAATATGCCATATAGAACTTGCAAGTGGTGAACTCAGGGTTACGTCTCTGGTCAATAGCCTCATTGCTAAATTGCTTTCCAATTTCATAGACACGGTCTAGTCCACCAACGACTAGCTGCTTTAAATAAACGTCAGGCGCAGTACGCATACATAGCTTCATATTCAGCTCATTATGATGGGTCACAAATGATCTTGCAGAAGCTGCACCCCCAGGAATCATATTCATTATGGGTGTTTCAACCTCTAAAAAATTTAGATTGTCCAGAAACGTCCTCATATATGTGATAACCTTTGAACGGGTCTTGAATACTTCTCTTGCTTCATCATTCAACATTAAGTCCAAGAACCGCATGCTATATCGAGTTTCTTCATCATCCAGGAGGTACAAGTCAGGATTCCTTGTATTTCCCGGGACCCAAACTTGACTCTTGTTCAAATTAACATTCTCTGAAGGTTGTTCTTGTATAGGCATTACACGGAGGCAATGAGATAAAACAACAAAAGACTTCGAAAAAATACTTAGCATCCCTCTCTTTTTCCCAGGGAATCCAATTACGCCAACAATATCAAAACATTTCACAGAAGAATGGAACTTGGAAAATTCAGCTTCCTCCAACTCAGAACTCCTAGTATCAGCGACAACTTGGACTTTGGCACCACCACCATACAAATCATAGAAGAGAAGCTTTGATGAAGATGGGCGCTTGCTCCTAACCCTTCCCGCCAAAGAAACTAACACATCCTCAAGATATTCCCCATTGTCCAACCCCTCATATGTCCCTATGAAATCAGCTACAGTCATCGTAACATTGAACTTATGAGGGTACGGATTGATTCCAGCAGCTTTCTGCGCATCCAGGAATTTTACCCTGCTCTCGTAGTATTGCTACAGCAAAATCAATAGGGAAAGAAAACAAATGCAACTTCATTAAATCAACAACATCGACAGACAGACAGCACCATATCATCTAACATTAACCAACCATCAAATTTTACTTCTACTTCAAATAAATAAAGCGAAAACTTACCGAACGAAAGTCATATAAACAAGAAACAAATCACACATTCAAGTCCCACTTTCAACTACATTTCTAATATGTTACTACTTTCAAGAATTTGTTGCTACTTTTCTTGTCTCATAATAAAAGCATTGTCTTCATTAATTCTAGACAAAAAAAAATGACAATTACATCTAAAAAGTAAGGGTGATTAAACAAAGTCCGAAACAGCTATTCCAAGTTCAATTAATTAAATATTATCATACCTCAAAAAATCTTAACTTTATTTCAAAAATAAGTGATTTTTAACGACAAACATAATCGCAATGATATCCATAGTAAATTTGATCTTCTCAATCAGTTTATTATGCTAATTATTGTAAATTTGATCTTGTCATTCAGTTTACTATACAAATTTTGACAAACTGAGGCCACAAGTTAATTAATTTGAACAAACATTAAAAAAAAAAAAAAAGGGCAAAATACCTTTGAATTTAGAGATGAATGTGAGGAAGAAAGATGCATAGTGGGCGGTGGCAGTGGAGTGGCGGCGGACGGCCGAGGTATTGGACGCCGGTGTTGGAGGACGAGTGGAGAAGAAGCGTGCGTGACAGCGTGGTAGTGGTTTTTCATACTAGTTTGATTTTTATTTTTTTAATTTGACTCTTTTTTTTGGGGAATTTATGAAGGAGCCCAATATTTTTTTTTAAAAAAAAAAAACAAGCTGCGAATTTCATAAAACGAGATCAATTTTCGTCAAAGTAATCAAGCTTTGGGAAAAAAGGACCTAACGATATAAGTTCATTACAATCTCTAACATCCCAACGAGCTACATTATGCGCTAGAATATTACCCGCATGCTTGACATGAGATAAAGAGAAAGAACTAAAACATGAGGCCAACCTACTAATATCATCATAGATTAAAAATATAGGAGAGAAACCCACAACCTTTGATCTGATTGCACCCACCACCTTCTCAGCGTCACTCTCAAGATGCACATGAGTAAAGCCCAGTCTTCTCGAAAGGATTAAACCGAATCGGCAAGCTCCCTACTCACTTCTGATCACCATTTCCAACCCGGTTGCAGCACCAAAATGAGCATCGCAATTGATTTTAATGACCCCTGCATCCGGACAACTCCACGAGCCCAACGTTCTACCTACCTAAGGAGCAACTCTGTTGTAACACCCCAATAATTCTCTCTTAAAAAAAAAACATGTAATACCTTTAACAATCTGCAAGAGAATTACTGACGTACTACCGCTACATGTTCAAACGTTAAGGCTAGTTTAGAATCTAGCAGCGGAAAAACTAACTCAATTATCAATAAGTTTCAAAATCAAATTTAGTCTTACAAGTTGGAACCATTAAGGCCCTTATTCAAAACCCAATAAAAGTAGTAAATAAATCAAATCATAGTAAATTAAATCCAACTTAAGAGTTGCAATAAACTGTGAAAATATCCAACACTCCACTCAAAATCCCACCACCTTGATGCAAGTTCTGATTATAAATAAACATGTGATTAATCTACTCCCCCAATATTATAAGTGTAAAAATTGGATCATTACAGGGTCATTGAAGGGCGAATGCCATGACCAAGAAAGGACACACAAAAGCACGCAATCAGAATCGCTGAGTACATACAAGCTATGAAATATAATAAAGAATTCCTAGCATACTACTAATAAGCAATCAACACACACAATTTAATTACTTACTCAGGCACATGTCTCAACTGTTAACATTACTAAGACTTCATTAATTAATAATAAATAATTCATTTCATTTATTGATTGGATTAAGCAATAGACCAAGTTGTCCCCCCTATGCTCCATTTCGGAACATTAATAAAAGAAAACCCTATGCCTCCTTTCAGAAACATTAATAAACATCCAATGACAGACGGGCGCGACTCCGTGGCCATAGCTAGTATGAGATTTCATCTAACTCCTTATAATTTAATGAAAAACATTTGTAAACAAGAGACTCGTAGATCAGAGAGCCTCAAGAAAGTACACGGCTAATACCCCGTGTACCCCAACCCCTATTTGTCATTACTCTAGATGTGCACAAATCCAGAGTTTTATTGCTCATATTTCTATGCAAAACGATACCATCAATCAAATAACAATCATTTAAGCAATTCAAGTTTCCGATTCAATTCTTGTTTTATTAGTGACAAACAATATTTATTATTGAATCCTTTAACTACCTCGGTGTATAAACACCTTAAGTGCATAGGGCACCTCAATCCTCAACCTCGTCTTATAAGACTTTAATACTTTCTTTACTTATTCCATTTCAATAATAATGAACGATTAATAAAATAATTCATTCCACATATTCACGTACCTTTGCCTCTAAGCTCATCTTGCATGTTAATGCATAAATAATACTTACAAGATAAATTAATATGCATTCCTCATACATGAAGCAAAATCAATCACCACATTAATCACCAATCAAGCTTACTACCATACAATTCCAACCAATCTACAAGTTTCCTAACATGATTCTAAGGTTATCCAAGTCCTTAAACATGCTTCTAAAGTCAAGGTTTTCGTATCCTTGTACGTACCTTGAGTAAACGAATTGGTTGGCCACTTTAGGAACTAAAAATCGTCTTCTACAAAGTCCTCCCCTTTTTGTGTGGGGAAAATTTGGGGATTCACGGGATATTTATAGGAGAGAATTGTAGGGTAGAATTGGGCCAATTAAATAAACAAATGGGTTAGGCTTTATTTTTATAATAATGGATTGTAGGATATAGGTTGATAAAATAATTTAGCCTAAAATAATTTTTGACCCAAATTAATAATTTGAAAATAAAATTCTGGAAAAATACAAATAAATATTATAAATAAAATAAAATTTCATTAATAAAATATTTAAAAATACGGGGAATTACACCTGTTGATTACTTTAGCTGCATATTCATTACTCTCCCTCACGAAATTAACCTATCCTTTCGCCACCTCTACAGCATTAAACGAATTTTGCTCAATAATAACCATGTTCCTGCAATGCCACGTAGCCCACGCAAGGGCAGCCATAGTAACAAGCTCCGCCTTCGATACGTTCTTTGATAGCCATAACAATCTTTCACCAAAGGTGCCAGAAGGAGCGAGGTTGAGGTGAACCAGGAAGGGGCTAGCAGCCCAGATTTCCTTTGTTGTAGCCTGCAGTACAATCAAAGGTAGCGTGCATAATTGTTTCTTCTTGAGCATTGCATACTGAACATGACTTCTCAAAAGTAATGTGACGAAAGAAGAGTTGCTCCTTTACAACTTAAAAAGCCCTTACAAGCTCTCCATAAAAAGTGCTTCAATTTAGGTGGGCATACCAAAGACCAAACCAAACACTAAACCTCAGACATATCCAACCCATGCTTAGAAATCGGATCTCTTTTGCACAACCAATAGCCCGATTTTACATTATATGAACCATCATTTGATGGCCACCAGTACATCCTATTAGGGGGCCAGTTAGAAGACAAAGGGATAGTAAGGATTTTTGCAACGTCATCCTCATTAAAAGTATTACGCAGAACACTCATATCCCACGCACCACAATTGTGATTAATCAAGTCACTTACCCTCAATGACATATCACTAGTGGGAGTGGGAGATGGTACAATCGCCAAAGAATTGTCAGGCAACCAAGCGTCACACCACACATTTATTGAGCTCCCGTTCCCCACACGCCACTTTAGCCCATCAAGAAGCAACTCTTTAGCTCCCCACATACTCCTCCAAGCGTAGCTTGGGTCATAACCCTGACTAGCCTCAAGGACATCACAATTTTTAAAATATTTTGCTTTCAAACAAAGATACATTTTTTGTATCTCAAAATGGCATTGTTGTAGATAAAAAGAAAAGTATGAATTTTTTAATATTTTTTTTTTTGTTTTTTTCTTCTTCTTCCTGCTCATCTTCTCCATCCTCCATCTTTTCCATGCTTTCCTCCATCAGTCAATCTCCATCTCCATTCTCCATCCTTCATCTTCTTCATGCTTTCTCCGATCTCCACCTTCTTCATGCTTTCACCACCATATTTCAGCGGCTTCGCTGTCGAATTAAACTAAAACCCTAATGGAAAATAGGGAAAAGAAGGGTATGCTTAACCCTTAAAGGAAAGGATTGTGTCTTTCTCCATTTTCGCCATGTTTGATTTACCCATTGAAGTTTCTTAACCTCTCCATTAACGATTTCCGGTTCTCCATTGAAAACTTCTGATTTTGTTTGAAAATAGAGATATTTTTAAACAAAATTACAATATTAACCCTACTATTAACCTGCAAAAAGACCATCGTGCCCTGTTGAGATGGTTCAATGTATCTCTAGTTGAGCTACATGAATTTTGTCTGAATTTATAAAGGGCTAGTTAAAAAAAATACTGAGACCTTAGTTTATAACCTTCATAAACAAATTAAGTTAGGTGAGTGTAGGGGAGTGGCGGATGTGCTGGGCTGCTGTTGGTGTCGTGACGAAGGAGGAAGGGTGGAAGCAGGGAGGCAATCAGTGTTGTTGTTGTGTTGAGTGTTGCGGGGTGAGAAAGTGTTGTTGGGAAGTGGGTTAAAGGATAAGGTGTCAGCAAGATGCATCGTATGAGGCCCTTAACTCAAACCCATAACTTGAACTCTCTCCATTTGAACTTTGTAACACAAGCCTTGCACCATGAACAATCGCCTAATCAAAACACAAATCGATGAGAGGAGTCGGGAATAAAATAAAAAGAAATAAGAAATGAAATAAAACAAAATAATAAGAAGCATAACCTAAATAAAACTATACTAAAACAATGAAATAATGGAGCCAAGAATTAATAAATAAAATTAAGAGCAAAAATAACTAAACCATTAAATAAACTAAAGAAACACAAAATAAAGCTTACGGAGTATTTAACTAGAAAACATATAAAAGAGAAATTAAGAGAATAAAAGATAAAAAAAAAAAAAAAAAAGAAAATAGGCCAAAAAAAGGTTAGGTTTCGTGTAATGCATACTAATTTCACTACATTTAATAAAAAATAAAAAAAATTATTGCACAGTAATTTTACTACATTTAATAATAAAAAATAATAATACTCATAATATTTTTATAAAGAGAATTTGTCAAAAACCTCCTTAAAACACAATTTTTGTAGAGGTGATCATTGGGCGGGCCGGGTCGGATCGAGCCAAGGCAAAAAAGCCTATTTCTCAGGCGGGGCCAGATGGGCCAAACTTTTGGCCGAAAAGTTTGTGCCCAAACCCGCCCAAAATGGCGGGGTCATGCGGGCTTTTCGGACCGGGCAAAAACAAAAAAAAAACAACTAAATTTGCATAAAAACTTCTTCCCAAACCCGCCCAAAATTTTAGAAAAACTCCCACCTAGCCGCCACTAGAACCATCTCTCAGCAACCGACACCACCAACCATCAACCTAGCTGCCATCACTGCCCACCCAAATCACTTTGAATCCCCTCAAAAAAATCCCCTCCCTTTCCTTTTCCTTCCATTTAGACTTTTCTCTCTCCTTTGTTCTTCCTAGCAATCCTCGAATTTTGCCAATTTAAAGGGAAAACTCCATTGTTTTGCTCAAATTGCTGCAAAGAACCTCAATTAACCTAATTTTAAGGCAGATGAGTGTTAAGGTTAATGAAATTGATTGTTAAATTCATGCTTTGTATAATGGCCTGGTAATTTGGATAGTGTTTAATCAAGTTTGTGGGGGTGGTAACTCATTATGTCACATTGAATTAACAAGTTCAAGCCTTACCAATTATTCTCTTAGTACTAAATTTTTTTAGAGCTCGCAATCGTGTTCATAGTTGAAATTAAACGGGTTGCGGAGTCTCAACACTAACCCGACTCAATTAGTAAACGTGTTGTGTCGTATTGACTCATTTAATTAAACGCATCAGAAACCCTAAACACTAACCCAATTTGTCCATGTCCATTTCGTGTCGTGTAGTCATGTTATATGAAAACATATTAGCTTATAATTATTGGTTTTTGTATTTTTAGGCAGGTTGAGTCGTGTTAATCTCAAATGTGTCGTGTCATGTCATATTGACTCCTTTAATTAAATGTTAAAAAACCCCATCAGTAACCCAATTTTTTTGTATTCGATTCGTATCGTACCAAATTTTGCCTGCTCAAAACACTACTCGCATTCACACTCGACTCATAATGCACCAGATATTTGGATTTGGAGGTGCAAATCCTTCGGCGCGAGCAACACTAAACATTCAAAATTTTGCCAAAAAAAAGGGAGCCAATAAACACCAACTTTTCCTTAGGTACAATTCCAACCGTAGATCTTTGAATCACAAGTAGAAATATACGGTCCACAATTGATCACTACGGTGCACGCGACCGCAGACAATAACAACCTCTATTTAGAATCTGTTTACTCAACTTCTCCTCCACTTTCTCGAACTTCTTCACTCCCAAACTCTCTGAAAACTAGGCAGAGAGATCGATAAACTAGAACACTCCGGCGAAAAATTTTCCGGTGAAGGTTTGAAATTGCCGGTGAGTATCACATTATGATTTAATATAATGATAATTTTGAGGAAATTTTCCCTAATTTTGCTACGATTCGTTGAATTTGGTTTGATTAATGTAGAAATCTGGCCTAATTTTGCAATCTATTTGTTTGATTAATGTTTGAATTTGACCTAATTTGCTGAAATTTTGGTGTAGTGTGGGTGGAATGAGCGTGGGAAGCGTAGTTTATCAAGTGCCGGCACCGGTAAACGACGGCGGTTCGGGGAAGACTCCGTTGCAATTAGCCCTGGAGGTGAATGCGTGCCGTGTGATTGCTGTTGCGGAGCAGCTTAACATGTGCGCACAAACTTCCGAAGACCCTAAAAAATTTCATCATCTTTGTCTTGCTCTTTCCAGGTTTTTTTTCCCTCTTTGTAAACCCTAATTTTCTTAGAATTTTCGCTTTTTTTGTTGATATTACTGATTGTTGTCATTTTTGGAGTGGCGTTGTTCGAAGAAGATTTGATTTTGATGCTAAATTAGGTTAGGTTGATGGTGTTGGTATCTTAGTAATCAGTATTGATTTCTGAAGCTAACAAGTTGTTTCTTGTTTATGGGTTTTATTTTTGCGGGAGTTTAGGTTAGATTGGTTGGGTGTGTAGGCGTGTAGTACGGAGTAACGTGTAGGAAGGAAATTCTGTTGTTTGTATGGTTTTTTAGGTGGATGGCGAGGGCTAAAGGCGTAAGTAACCATGTTTGTTATGTGCTTGATGTTCAATTATTTAGAAGGCTGGACAATTTGGTCGATGAAGCTCTTCGACATAACCAGGATTTTCAAGGAGGCAATAGCCCGCATGCTTTAAGGCAAGCAAACTTGGTTGCTCATGATTTAAACACTTTCTTATTTTTATACCTCTATAATTACTTCTTTTTGACACAATCTGGAAATTGTAAGACAATCAGAGAAGGGAACTGATGGTATTGTAAGAATTAGAGATAGCGCTTGTGATGCCTTTTTTCCCTTACAAGGGCTTTTAATTTTTATATTGAACTTTCTGGCTTTAAGTTACAGCTATTGGACTGATGTGCATGAATTAATCATGCACTACATTATATGTTGTCGGTTGTTTATTCCATTTCTGCATTACAATTTTATGGAGTTGCAAATGTTGGTAGCTACTTTGGAATTTTAACTTTTTATTTAATCATAGAGCATATTTGTCTGAATTATGTACATGCAGAGTTTCTCTGTCTTAGGTCACTTAGATGTTGAGGACTTGGAAGAGGTAGGTAGTGGCCTACTGAGAACTTAACTAGTGAATTCAAAATGATTGTGTAGTATGATTTGTGTTAGTACATGGGTTGGATTTTTTGTGGTAAATATATTTAAAGTTAAGCATTGATGGGTACACACTGTCTATGACTCTATATAAAAGGCAAGGATGAGAAGGAATACTAATGAAGCTACGAGTATTGCTAGTTGGGCTTGGAAATGTATATGTAACGTGAAATCCAATCTTAATTTTGCAATGCTGAATGACATATGGATGGCAACTCATCATATAGTACAGCTAAGAGTCTAAGACCTATGCAAGGCTCCTTAGGCTTAAGATGATTCAACAGTGGAGTAACAATGTGCTCCCTTTTTATTTTTATTTTTAAGTCACTAGCTTTCGCTCGAAATTTTAAAAGAATTATAGGGTGTTTAAAATACTCGTATTATGGTTGTGAGGTTTGTTGGAGAATTAGTATTATGAGAAACTGAGAAAGTGATAGTGGTTTAATAGTTTATTCATAAATGTAGGATTTGAGTGGAGAGAAATAATTTGAAATATAAGAGTGGGGACTATGAGAATTGAAGAGAGAGAAATAGTTTGCAATGTAGTAGTAGGGGCCAAAGGAGAGAGATATGATAAAAAATAATAGAATGTTTCCAAATGGGGAAGTGTGTCTATAGGCTAATTTTGGAAAGTGTGTCACTAAAAAGGAGGGAGTATAGAGCAGGTTCATGGTTAGCATTGATTGGTAGATTGCAATTAAGGCACAGGTTATTCAACTTGAAAATATGTGGAACAGAAAATTGCGTCATCTATGATAAGGGATGTGAAATGTGATTAATGAAACCTACAATCACTTATTTTTTGACTGTGAGCTCAGTAAAGTGCATGCAGAGCATCAAAAACTGGATTGAGAGGTGCCAAAACTACTGATATGTGCATGCTTCTAACATGGATTGACAGTAGAACTAATAAGTCAAAGTTTAGGAAGAGGCTTGAGATAGCAGCAGTGGCAGCTGTAGTATTTAAGATTTGGTGTGCGAGAGATGCAGCTCTCTATAACATAAAATTGCTTACCACTTTTCGGTATCCAGGATGTACAAGCTTACAAGGTTAGGTGAAGAATAGAATTAAAGGTGTTATGGGGAAGAAAGTGTCCTAGGTTGATAGAGATTGGCTGGAGGACCTATAATTCCGTTCCTTGTGCCTTTTTCCTATTCTTCTTGTATGCTTTTTAGGCATGAAGGCCATATTGTTTGAGAACAAAGTGATCATTTTCAGAAGGTATTGCTGCCGTTATGGTTCATAAGCTGTGACAATGTTGATATCTCAAGCAATATAATCGCTTACTTACCAAATAAAAATATATAAGAAATCATGTGGGGATCTATTGTATGCCATGGGACAGTTTTGAATAATATCCTGTAGTATTTGCTGATACATAGATGTTTTAAACTCATGGAGTTGATTTTACCCTTGTATTAACAGACAATGCCAGTACATGGAAATAGTAAGATTGATAATTATAAACCACATCTCTTACATTTTTTTTGAACTACACAACTGTAGTTCAATCGACCTAGATCATCATTTAGATTCATTTTATTGTTTCACAGCATGATTTGATTTTTATGCTTTGCTTAAAATGAAATGCAGGGGAATAGACTATGGGCTTGCAAACAGCGAGGTGCCAGCCCATGCGTCAAAGTTGCCTCCAGTTTTGAAAAAGGTGCTCCCATCTATTGATAATTCTGTCTTTCTCCTTTGTTTTCTCTCGAAACATTGGCTTTGAGCTCATTGTCTTGAGCCTTGCTTTCATACTTCGAGATTTCAACAGCATTCTGAGCTTTATATCATATTCTCATAGGTGTGTAGCCGAAAAGACGAAATCTTTCTGCAAGCATCTATCATGGTGCTTATGATCTCTGTCAAGGTATGTCACTTATTATAGTTTTGCTTAGTGATGGCGTTTGTGTGGTGAGAAAGCAATTATCTTTGTAGTGGGTGCATTTCTTCATTTATTATTTCAATTCTATTTCTATGGGATTTTTTGATTCTTATTTTTTAAATTTTTATATGTATGTAGAATTAGAGGTGGGGAATGGTGGCATTTAACACTCCCCCAAGGACTTGTTCTCCCCAACAATCTAACTTTTTTTTGGATAATTGTTATTTGTTCTTGTCAAAATCAGACTAGATTAGACCAGAAATATTCAAATCACACCACTCCAGAACTTTTGATTCTTGTTTACTTATTGCTTAATGTCTTTGATCGTGTATTAAAAAACTCTATGAAAATTACATATTGGAAAAGTTTTTAGTGAAACAAATCTAACAGGATCCTAGTCGATAATGTTATTTTTATAGGTTAGTTTAATTTTGTAGTTTAAGTTTAGTTAAATTAACACATTAGACCAAACCAAACCTTTTGTTAAATTAACGCATTTGACCACACCAGAAACACCAGAACAAGTCCTAAGAATTGATTGAGCACCCTTTTTTGATGAGTATTGAAGATGTTAAAGCAACCTTTTGTTATATTTGTTGTGTTTCTAAGATTTTATTTCCTTTTCTCCCTTTCCCTTTATTTATTGTATCTTTGTACTCATTTTTCTGCTTTTCATGGGGTAGTGAATATGTATGAACTCTTTTAATTTTGATTAGAGGAGGACCTGGGTTCTAGGGAAAATGACTCCCTCAGATTATCCGCAAAATTTAAGTTCCTTATTTAGCTAATGAATACTCATCTCTTCATTGAATTCTACTTTATTTTGAATGCTTACTGAGTGTTACATGTACCCATGTGGTCCTTCCAGCTTTTGAGCTACATGTGCGTGTTTGTGTTGAGCATTTTTTGAATTATGGTTATTTTGTGCACAGAATGCTTGCAAACTCGGATGGTTCAGTGCCCAGGATACGGAAGAACTTCTGACTCTTGCGGATGAGGTGGTATCTCATTGCTTACTTTTGAACTTTCTTGTTTTCCTGTCAATTTGATCTTTTTGTTGAAGCTTATCTTTTGATATTTCCCTTGTAGGTTGCAAGCTTCTTCGTGACCAAAAAAGACGTTAACACTGAAGTGTGTAATTTTCTGCCAACTGTTTCTACCATAATGTCCAGGTACTAACCTCATATGTTGTTTGTCATATACTCCCTCCTTTCAAATATTTCTGTTAGGTTTGGGCACTCGTCAAGGGATTTAGTAGTGTCATAGATATTTGGCCGATAGTAAGGGAATAAGAATAAAACAAAAGAGATTAAAAGAGAGTTAGTGAGTGAGAGGAGTCACATGAGTATCTAATGTATACACTTGGGTTGAATGGGTGAAGTTTCCATTTAAAGTACGAGGAAGATTTTTGCAGACATCCCAATTATGTGGACAAAGAGATTATGATCAATACTAAATTATTTTTTCTTTAATCATGGGATGGAGGAGGAAGATTTTTGTGAATGACTATACCGAATAATTACTTTTGGTTCATTTAGCCGACCCCACTTATGGGATTAAGGCTTTGATTGGTTGATGATCATGAAGCTCCTTAGCTTGTTGCTTAGTATTTACATGTGTGAATAATGGTTAACAGGCTAATGAAAGGAAGTAAGAGATTGCAATAAGATGCTCTCCAGTAAATAGAAACTGTAAAATATAACTGTGCTAGAATTGTTAGAGATTCCAGATTCATGTTAACAGTCTATTAGTTACTGTTATATGGTGTGAGGCCATAAGGAGGCAGAGGTTGCAAGAATGCATCCCAACTTGATTATAAATTTTTTTGGCATTTTGCTTCCTCCATTGGGAACCCCAGAATATAGTAAATACTAATGTATTGGGCAATCCCATGGCTCAAATCTTTTTTGAAACAATCTCCTTGCTAGTCTTAAGACTGCAGATTGGTGACGACTTGAGAGGCTAATGGTTTCCCTACTATTATGACAATGGAAAAGTTCTAATCAAAACTTTAGATTTTGAATGTGAAATATTGATTATTGTTCATCTAATTTATCTTAGAAAGGGAAATACTTTGTATTTAGTCAAAATTTTGTCCTTTCTTGTTTAAGTAACTATTTTTTTCCCCCTACATTTATAGGTATTATCCACGATTTAAATTAGGCCATGTTATTGCGTCTCTTGAAGTTGAGGTAGACTTCTAATCCCTATGTAATGCATTATCTCCTTTATTTTTGGTTAAAAGCATACTAGTATCCGATTGAGTCAAGTTTTTTAGCCATACCTTTATTGAGTGGGATAGGTTGAATCTATTTTTTGCTACATTTTGAAATTTGCACACTTACTGTTTCTGGCCTTTGGTGCAGCCAGGATATGGGACTCACTTGGTTGATTTTCACATCTCCAAGGACATAATAATCGCGAAAGAAGAGAAAATAGTAAGTGTTTTTTTTTTTTTGGCCAGCTTCAATTGAAGTAGTTTTCTTTTGGACGGAAGAAACTTATCTTGTTCACTCTCTGTTTCTGAATCCTTCTCGTTTTCGTTTTTCAAGGGACCAACTTCTCCTAGAAGTCAATATGTATATTTGTTACAAAATTTAAAATCTATGTTATGAAATTATGTCAAATATTTACACTTTAAAATAATTATATACATATATATATATATTATTTAATTTTTTCAAAACGACATGTATGGCTTGGTGTTTAATATATATAGTAATATTGTGTGTGTGTGTGTGTGATACTGGAATTAGGGGTGTTAAGGGGAGGGGAAAGCCTATAAAGACTTGGATTGATGTTGATAGGCTGCTATACCAATAATGCACTTAACTTATTTGTCCAATATGAGTTTATCATGGAATCATGTTATTTTTTAATCGTTATTTTGTAGTGATTAAGAGCATTGCAATACAAGTGGTTGAAATAATACCTTCACACTTGTTTATCAGTAAACTGACATTTATACTGTTTAAAGTCATGATTGAATTTTGATACTTCATTTTACATTTAATGAAGTATTGCACCAAATGCATAGAGAGAAATTGAATTGTTAGGACAATCAAGCTTGAAACATCCCAAAATTGGAAGGAGGATTGTCACTCTGACGTGAAGTTTAAATATGTAGTATGTTAGTTCTAGGTGTCTGGAATATGTAGCAACAGATTTCGAAGACTGACGTAATAATATAGAGGATATTGCAGAATAAGTTTGGAACCTAATTGTGGAGTGGACTAGTTTGTAATGGCAGGTTGGAGTTTATGGGATTTACTATTGTTTTCATGTTAGGAACATTGGTAAAGTCTCCTTGCATTCTTCTTCGCAGCTTTGCTTAGCCAACAACTCTATAGCTTATCTTTTTGCGTTTATTGACCACATTTTTTTGTGTGTTGGGGGGTGGGGGGGTTAAATGAGCATACTGTTTTCGACAAACCAGATATTTTTAAAACACTTTAAACTACTCCTTTTGTCCCTTAATTTTTGCCCCATAAATACTACTTTTGGTTATAGGGGACCACACCTTTACTCTCTCAACCATTACACTTGGTCCCACTACTTTTCAATCTCATCAATTTCTTCCCAACCAAAACTTTAAAAAATAATCTTACCTCTATGGAGCATAAAAAAAAAAAAGAGGATAAAGGGAGTATATTGAGGGAAAATTCTGATGAATTTTGAATTCTTTGTGGTCCACACATCAGAAGTTTTTATCTAAAATATTTCTATTAAGAAGAATACCCTTTGCATCCTTTGTGCAACCCCTGGAACCCTTTTGCGAATGTACTGAATTGCTTCTGGTCCTCTGAATTTTATTCTGTCAATAGTGCTCTCTCTATCTTTCCAGTAACAATATGTCCAAGAAGAAGATTTAACCTTAATCTGGTCTACAACTATAACATTGTTTTGTTTGTTGTTTGTCGACATATTTACCTGTATCAGTTTCCACTTTTTAGCTGTTGTAGTTCTTTTGCACTATAAGCTAAGAGTACCATATTTTTATTTGATTATAAGCTCCTGAGTTCTGCACTCCTGCTATTGTCCTTGTCAGTCAGCTTGAAGCAGTATCACTCCTGGGTGCCATAATTTCCTTTGATTGATTATATCCTTGAATTCCCTTTGTATCCAAACGTCTTATAGTCCCTGCACTTGTTATCATCTGACCACTTAATGCACAGAAAAATGTTGAAAGAGAGGTTGATTCAGTAGCAAAGCTCTGCAATATGGTTCCTAAAGTTTTTATCCTTTAAATTGTAATCCAATTAATCCAGAGGGACTCTTAGCCTGAGATACTGAGATGAGTTGCCATTTGTTTCAACCACAGCAGTTTTTCAGATGTAGAAAAAATGTAATTGTCAAACGTCTTCCAAGTCTTAAATGGATTTGCCCTAATATTTTTTTTTTTGTTTTTTTACCCTTTCTGCATAATATATTGGTGGACTGATGGTTTTGGAATTTTGGTGGAACATGAATATATTCCAGTGAACTTGGAGTGGAAACATCCTTCGTGTCATTCTTCTATTTTTATAGAGATACGAAACTTATGCATGCATGAATAAATCTTGAGTTTTAGATATTTTAGTTGAGGTGGTTATGATATCGTAGCTTTGAGATCCTGTAGGTTTCTCCCTCAATATTCAAATCATCGTCTACTTCTAAAGAATGAAGGGTGCAAATTTTTAATTGCTATCACATTTGTTGTGCATTTTCAAATGGCCAATGGGGCAATGAAAGAATCATGAAAATGAGCGTATGTGGAAATTGGAATATATGGCCTATGATCATGCCTACAAGTCACATTAACAGTACTGTTTGCTTCAGCAGAATGAAGATTTTGATTCTTTAGAGGTCATGTCTTGAGGTGGATGAGAGGATGTATTTAGATTTTTGAACAATCTTACCTTTTCAAGGACAGAGGTTGATCTCTTATACTTTTGCTTGAAATCCTGACAGGATGACACTTCAGAATGAATGTGAAGTGCAGAATGCTGACAAGCCATTTGATTTTGTCTGATGTAACATGTCAAGTGTTACCCCAAGATTTGTACTGGCAATGGCTGTGACTACATAAAGGAGTTTAATAGTTGATTTAACGCTGTTAATTTGGAGAGTGTTTTACACGCAGAGCATAATTAGAGTATAGGCTATGCAGTTGGCTGACACTAGACACTCATTTGTTGGCTGTTGGTGTATGGAATTAAATCTCAACATTTTGTTGGCAATTTTCTTATATAGCTTAATCTTAGCGATAGAGACAAGGGCTGGTTTTGCTTAAATTCTATTGTTTGACTCAGTATCTTGTTGATCACTTCATTATTGATCCAGTGTTTTCTTGCTTTTACAATTTCTGCCTATCCTAAAGGTAACGTTTTTAATCTATCATTTTGCTTTCTAATATCACAGTATTTGTTCGTGGCTATGAAAGACAACATAGACACATCATCTTGTATTGTTACCCCTCGACAGGTGAAGTATGTAGTCTGCTCCTCTAATCCTCTTCTTTTAAATTTCCAGATTTTCCCTGCTTACCCTTTTTCTTTATGGATTTGTGCAGTATCTTGCTCAATGGCAATGCTGTGGATCATAGAAGCAGTTCGTCGATGGTTTGTAATTAATCACGAGTACTAGAATCTCATTGCTGATGTCAGCTCCCCCCCCCCCCCCCCCGCTTCTTTTGTCCATCTCTAAAGTGGGTTCTTGTTTATCAGGATCACGGGCCTCAGCTTCCAACTATAGTCAATAGTTCTCTAAAATATGGAATAAATCTCCTTCAAGTGGTGGGACAATTCATTGGTATTTTCCATTTGACATGAGAGTCTGCACTGTGGTCTGATCTTTTTATTCATTTATTTATTTATTATTTCTTTTTAAGTGGCTTTTGAGATATCCTCTTTTTGATGTGAAGGTCATTGCATTCTCTCCATTGCTCTTATGAGTGTCATACCATCTTCTGCTCTTCCTGTTCCTCCAGATTATGATCAGCCCGCATCTGCTGCATTAAGCTCAGGTATACTGTGAGATTATTGGTGACAGTGATTGAGGGTATATGGGCTTATAGTTTCAGACTTGTCTGTGGTTTGGTGCATGCAAGCAATTTGTTCCAACAAAAAGTATATAAACTAATGCTTCAGTCTCTTCTATTTTTCTTCTTTTATATATACATATATATAGGCTCTTTTTGAACTTTTTATATTATTGGAACTGCATGGTTTATTTATGTGTTTTTTTTATAGGAACTAATAGGTATAACTTTTGTGTGTGCGTGTGTGTTGGGGGGGGGGGGGGGGTAGCTGGCTGCGGGAGAAGCTAGTGTTTCCTTAGTGTAGTGTTATCACAACCATCAGGCTAATTTTATCCTATTCATAATAATAAGCCTTCTTCCCTTTAATTTTCTCTCGTTCTCCAACTTGTGGTTTTCTGGCTCTTCTATCTGCCTTCTTCTTACCTCTCCTGACTTTCTCTCCCTCTCCACCCTTCTGACCCTATCATAATTGCCTTAATATCGCAATTGACTGTCAGTAACTCATCAACTTCATTGACATAAACGTTTGAAGTAAAGGCAAAATTATATATTTGCTAAATTACTGCAAAAGGCTTGATCACTCCCTGAACTTTTCCCCCAATCTAAAATAAATTGAAGGTAAGGATTTGGTGATTAAAATTCCAGATTAATGACTACTTTGTCTGTAATTGCTCACCAGTGCAGCTGCTCAATCATGGTTGAACATTTTCATTGATTGTTTACTAGAATGACATACTAGATCTTTGATTGCTCTCTCTGTTTTTTTTTAATTTTTTTATGGTCAGATTCTGAGATTATTGAAGGGCCATCCCGGGTTAGTCTTAACTGCCCTATAAGGTAAGTTTTGTCTAATGTTTACAGTGTCTTCTACTCTGTGCCTTTGTTTCTTACTCAATTTTACTCCTAAATTACTAGTGGATTTTGTGCAGTTTTCACTCATAGGTGTAATGGACACAGATAAATGTGATGTAACTAAAATCTTGTACTGTATTGGGTTGCCAAATGCAAGTTAACACCTATCTAGTAGTAATGCTGATACAGAATTGCTGTATTCATGATTTTTGTTTGCATTTTTTTTTTATTTAATTTTTTTTTTTATTTTATGGTAAGGATAAGGCTCACCGTAGGAGGGATGGGTGAGATTTGACCCCTGGCCTCAAGCCTGAAAGTCGGAGAGCTAGCCAACTTTTCTAGCCTCGTATTTCTGTTGTATTCCTGAATTGCACTTCCCTCCACATTATTGCAGTCATATATATCTACCATCTCAGTTTTTTTTTTGGTTCCTTCCTGTCTCTTTGCTTTTTATCTGTGCTGTCATCATTATCCTTGTCACTGCTGACTGCTGTTAATCGTGAATGTTCAGTGCTGGAGTCGCTGTTGCTCCCTGAAACAAAAATTGACATTACTAATACTGCTGTCTTTCTGACTAACCAAGGGACGCATAATTTAATTTAATTTTATTTTCATTTAATTTGTTGGCAGTAAAACACGCATCAAAAAGCCAGTGAAAGGAAACTCTTGCAAGCACTACCAGGTAATGCTCCTTTAGACATGTTCAAACTATGCTCTTCTGCAGTACATATATGTTCCATTAAATGTTGTAAAAGCTTATCATTTTGTACCTTTATTTGTTTATGTTCTGGGGAAGTATTATAATACTTTCTCCATTTTTTAGTTGCATCTTTTTGTTTTTTTACGGATTCCTAGGCATTTTTCGGAGTAGAGAGAGGTAGAGAGAAAAAAAAAAAAATGGGGCCCATGTGATAGGAGAGATATAGAGAGAATTAATTAGTTAAAAAATAAAGTGATGCATCTAAATTGAAACTTTCTATCTAAAAAGAAAAGGAGGAAGTAGATTGTAAGATTATGGATTATCTGATGCTGCTGAAAGAGTTGTGCAGACCCTTGTATATATTTGTGCGTTGTTGACCTCTTTTTCACACATATATAGCTTAAAGATAATTAGCTACACAAATCCTTCTTGGAAGAAAAAGAGACACTTTTAGTATTGGTGGTTGGAACTTGTTTTTTGCTGTTTGTTTTGTTTATGGTAAGATTGCTAGTTGTGTTAAAAGGATGAGAAAATGATTATATGTTGGTTGAGAAAAAGAAAGGTGGAGGGCTTATTGGTTTGCAAAACTTATGTTTGCTATTAGTTGCTTGCAGATGCCTTGTACAATTACTTTATTTACAGCTTCACTGGGGGAGGAAGGAGAGAGGGGGGGGGGGGAGGTGCCATTTATCAACGGATAGGGTTTTTCGGTCAGGATGAGTTTTCATACTAGATATCACCTGCTCTCTCATTCTCAATTAATTGTTTTTTTTTTTTTTTTTTTTTTTTTAATTTTTAAATGCAGTGTTTTGACTTCAGCAACTATGTCGAGATCATGTCAAAACGACCATCCTGGCGGTGTCCAAGCTGTAATCAAACTGTGTGCTTCACTGATCTTCGTGTTGATCAGAAGATGGTCAAGGCAAGTTGAATCTGCCTATGGAAGTTGTGCAACATATTTGTTACATATGTTGTATTTTTTTTTTGGGTGTTACATATGTTATACTCTTAATACTATTGCTTCAATTATTTTTTAGGTCCTACAAGAGGTAGGGGAGAATATTTCTGAGGTAATTCTATCTGTAGATGGTTCATGGACAGCTGTTTCCAACCATAAACGTAAAGACGTATCACCCGATAATACATCAGCTAACCAGCAGGAGGGTCATGAGCTGGATTCATCTTCTGATATTCTGGAAGCTTGCAATATGTATGATCTAACTGGTGAAGATGATGATATGGAGATTGCTGATCGGTGTGAGCCAATAGATGTAAAACCTGTAATCCAGCATAATATTCAGGGCCCATGTGCTCCTTCAAATATAACCCTACCACCAGTATCTAGATGTACCACAGAATTGAATCAATATTCTTCTGCACAAACTACGCATAGTCCATCTCTTGGGGCAGGGTTAAATTCTAGCTCTATTGGTTTTAACATCAGGCCTCAAGCACATTTTGGTGGCGTTTCAGGTACCTCAACTGGTAATTATGGGATGACTCCTGTGTTGACAGATGCTGTTACTCCTGCGCTAAATCGACAGACTGATAACTTTCAAGGGACTAATTGTCCAGCAAATTCAATGTATAATAATTTGCAGTTGCAAGACGTATATTCGCAGGAACTTCTGAATAGTTTTCTTTCAATACCCAGAAATGTTAGGAGGGATCCATCTGCTATCCAGGCTCTTCCAGTACCCCAGATCCCTTCTAATCCACTGCAGCATGCAAGACCTAATGTGAGATTCCCTGCAGCAAGCGTGTCCTCTGTTCCTTTCCAGGGGCCTGTTGGGTCAAATGGACACGGTTCTAGCCCTTTTGGTAATACTATTGAAAGGCAGCGGACTCATCTTCAATCACAAGCCAGGTCTCTTCATCTGTCAAACAGTACACTACCAAACCATTCAGCTTCCTCAGTAAGATATCTGTGTACTAATTTGTCTTTGATTCTGTTGTTTTAAGCTTTCCAGACTAGTTTGTTACACAACTTGCTTCGTAATCATCATTCTGCTCAACAGGGAATGCATCATATGTTGAGCCAGCCACAACATCTAATGCATAATAGGCAGCCACCTCATCTAGCGCGGACATCACTTCCTCGCAATGATCTTCAGCATGGAGCTCCCCCCAGAGCCGGGCTTACCAACTCACCGAGTACTGTCCAACGTGTTCAGCTGCCTCCACAGGCTTCGCTTGGGAGACAGCTGCAAAGCATGCCTCTCCATACACAGGCGGTCAGGATGCCATCCTCCTTGCCCCAGCATTCGGGAGTAACACCTCAGGTTGTCAATAGGCCTGAAAACTCGATCGATTTTCAATCAGAGCAAAATTGGAGACCCAGTGGTCGAATGCGAGGTGCACTCACGGGGGAAGCTTATTCTCATGCTTTGAGCCAATACATGGGTCAAGTGACTCAGGTCGCACAACCAGCTCAAACTCCTATGCCTAGACCATCTGTGTTAGCAGCATCTTCATTGCCACCTAGCCTTCAAGTCCAGATGGCCAATAGAAGGATAGCCTCTGAGCTGCAAGATCGATCAGCAACCATTGCTGCAACTATCTCTGGAACTGTTGGTACGCAGGCAGAAACATCTCGTGGGCTCAATTAATCTGACATAACGTTTGCAGTATTCATTTTGTGGAGGCTGTATATGAAGATAATTTATATTCTACGGTTAGTTGATCCCTGGTGGGGGCGTGGTGAAATATGTTGCTATGTCGTAATTTTGTGTATTTCTTGCTGGCTACTACGCTTGACAAAGGCTGACCCAGAAGATAGATTTCCTTTATGAATACTCGGTGTCCTAGTGAATCCTAAGTTATAGCGATGTATATTTTAGTTATATGTACAGTAATGAAAGCAAATTAGTTTTGTTTTTATGGTTCTCCAAACAAATACTTGTTAAAACAACCTTAAGTACACAGGAAAATATTTCAGATCAGCTACAATATTAAAAAAAAAAAGCTCTATGATGGAAACTTGAGTCAAATAAGGCTTTGTGAATGAGATACTCAAATTTTCCTTGAATTGCAAAGAGCAGAAAGGAAGGCTGCCATTAAAGGGTTACTCGTTAGGCATCAGAAAGAAAAAGCATTGTTCCACCCTGGCTTGGAATCTAAGCCAGTGAAGTCAGCTCAACCAGGGCGTCCTGTGGAGTCTCAGAATCTCTGATCCTTGTTACTTTATCATGCTAAGAAATGGGATGAAATTTGCGTAATCATATCCACAGAGCATTAATAGCAAGATAGAAATTTTAATCAAAGTTTGCAAGTTTAAGCGCTGTCAATTTGTGCTCACCACACAGTAGATATTTAACACCATTTTTCAACTGTTTCTCTCAATAAGTATTTTCAATACATTGAAAGATTAAGAAAAATAGATTTTCCCAAATCAGGTAGCCATGTAGGTAATTTTGCTGAAACACCCCAAAACAAAAGACTTTATTATCATGAAAATTTAGATTAGCTGTATCATGAGAATTTAAATTAAGAGTTATTGAGAAGCCATAATAGATAATAGGGAAATTCTCAATGATACTCATCAGTTTTTTAATTTTCTCTCTGGTGAACGGCAAAAATTTCAATTATTTTTGATAATCACGAATTATTAGTATATATTACCAATAGCATTAAATCATTAATGATATAATTTGGTTAAAATCTTTAACTAGGGTCAGGTTTTTATTATTTTTTAATAATTAAATTATTTTTATAAAATTTTAATAAAAAAAACCACCACTCCTCTCCCAACAGCCCAACACCCCCTAGCCTAGCCGACGCTTCTCTTCCGGCGCCAGCGCCGGTGCCGCCCACGACCCCCCATTGCTTGTCTTCTTCTCTCTCTTCTTCCTCACTTGCACCTTTGTTGGTCTCTCGTTGAATTTTCATAAACCCAGAAAAAATCAACTTCAATTCTCTCTCCTTGCAAAATCATCAAATTTCATCAGAAAACTCATACTTGATGAAAAACGATGACGAAATTCCCTCATTCGTTCTATCTTACCCATTAATCCCGCCGCAAATTACGCCGCACCCACCTCCCTAATTGGCGTCGCCGTCGATTGGACCACCTTGCTGGTTTTAGGGGGTTTTTTGTGGGGAGGGAGGGTTTGTGGTTTGGGGGGGACGCGACAGGGGGAGGGCCGAGAGCGGTTGATGCGGTGTCGCCGGGAGCAGGGAGATCGGGACTGGGGTCATGGGGTGGCTGGCTGGGTAGGGGAAGAATGGGTGGTGGGATTTTTTTTTTTAAAAAAAAAAATTTATTTTTTAAATTATTTAATTATTAAAAAATAAAAATAAAAAACTAACCCTAGTTAAAGATTTTAACCAAAATTTATCATTAATGTTATTGCTAATATATACTAATAATATATGAATACCAAACCTAATTAAAATTTTTGTTGTTCACCAAAGAGAAAATTAAAAAACTAATGAGCACCATTGAGAATATAATAAAGAGATTGAAGCAGTTCAATTTCTTAAATTCTCATGGCTTGAAAGTTGAAGCAAACTTCAGCAACAAAATAATTCTTATATAGAATAAAATTGCAGTGAGAATTATAGCATCCTATGTTAATAAGAAATTAGTAAATAATATTTAATAAAAAAAAAAACCATACTAGTACATTGTAAAAACCTAAATTTCATTGTTCTAATATATAATCAAAGATATTAAATGTCACTGTTTCAAAAAAAAAAAAAAGATTTTAAACGTCACATTAATAGGAGAACTAATATAGATAATATAAACATTATAATTCTATTATTATCTTTAGACCACAAAAGTCAATGTAACAAATTACTAAAGTAATAGTATTCTAAAAAAAAAAAAAAAAATTACTAAAGTAATACCGTAAGAAACAAAGGGAAAGCAAGCAAAATCAAGAAGCAAAGAAGGGCTAACAGAGTTGAAGAATTAGCGAAAATTCAGACCAAAAATGAATTGTATTGTCTCTAGTCTATTTACGATATCATCAACCTAAGAGTCTCTTCAACAATCCAAGTTATATTTTCTCACTCATGTTGAGCCATGAGACCTTCCAAAATGGACATCACAAAAACCGAAAAACGTCACAGGGTCAACAATTGCTAGTGGTAACCATTCTCACATTTCTTTTGTCAATCCCTGTGTCGAAGGATGCATACCTTCCATGGCCCATAACTTTCTGTGGAAGCTACAAAAGAAAGGTCCCCAACTCTTGCCCATGCCTTGTCAAGCAGACCTTGCGATCCCCAACCCATTCTAAGTGGTAGGACAGGTCAAGATTGTGAAGCAAAAGATTTAAACTGTCCACATCACTTGACCGAGCATGTACCTACATAGATATTAGAGAAGGTATATGTTTGAGATTGCACGGTTGCACCCCAAGATAATCATATCATCATCCAAAGCACAGTAGGAAAAAACCTCGAAGCCAGACAAACAATTACAAGGACATCCTAGCAAGACATCCAAACAGGCTCAGTCATCTCCAAACAATAACGGGAGGCAACTAAAGTCATAGTGCTAAACCTCTGAAAGCTACAATTGAATGTAAGAATGTTCGAGTCAATATGGAGACATAAAAGACACCAATTTCTTCCATGAAGCACAGATACAGCATCCAATTATCCTTCTTAGCAGAGTGTAACTGGTAAAGCACATTAACAGGAGAACAAAACAATTCATATATATATAGAGCAGAGAACATAAGTGATAGTTTACACAATGATTATGACTACGGAAAGAAGACATCAAGGGACAGATATTCTTTGTCATTTGCTTATAGTATAAAGAAACTTCTAGAACTGCAGAACAGTATATTTGGCTTTCTTGCTGCAAACTACCAAAACACCAAGCACCTCAGCACCTCTAATCACATTTTCTTGTCATGGCTACAAAAGTTCCTATTTTCTGTTCAACATAGCAACTCGATGCCAAATTGATGGATATTTATGTACTCCAAACTAATAGCCACTAATGTACATATGAAGAAATTGCCAAATTGAAAGAATACCTGTGAATTTGCCTGTCTACCAGTAATGTTTGCCATTATGCTCGCCCTAGAAGAATTAGGTGAGAAGCCTTCCCATGGCGGAACAAATATAAGTTTAGTGCATTGTATGGGAGTAAAGTTGCGGCTTAGCTTTTCCCACCATGCAGATCCCAATGACCACCATCTTATTATTAAACCATGCTCAGAGAAAGCAACCAGTCCCTGTCATTCAAAACATGCATTGAAAGCGTTAGCATGATTGTACATAGTTCACTAAAATGCATTAGTCACGTCCACAAGGCAAAGAAGAAAATTATTGATCTAAAGGAGCACTATAACAGAGTTAGACTAGGTAAAGAGAAAGAGAGTTTATACCATCCCAGGAATACATAAGCAGAATAGGTCCATAATTAGGCCGAAAAAGGTAACTGGAATCCAAAAGGAATAAATTGTTAAACACTGTGCTGACTCACTCGAAGCTTTCAAGTCATTTCAACAGGAATTGTGTTGACAGCAATACTAATGTGGTACAAACAAAAAGGTATTTGGCACAGGTAACTTCAGAAACACTATCAATGGAGAAAATGGAAGACACTTATCCACGCACACACAAAACCCCCCCAAAAAAAGTCCAAATGAAATCAATAGAAGACTCTTTGATAATGGGATAGTATGACATCAAGGCTAGTTATATCTTATCTTACAAACCCAACAAAAGATCAAATAATAACAAAACACAATAATGATCGGTGTAATTAAGAAAAACTATATCACGGGCTCAATAAACCTCCAAAGAAGTAGAAGGATTTGACTAGGAAAGAAAAAATACAGAACAAAACAGAAGAAAAGTTATATTAAGGAAGTAGTAAGCCAGACAAAATTACCTCCCCATCTGGTGAAAAGGTCAATGTAGATATTGCAGAAAGGACAGTTTCAGGAGCTCCAGAAAACAAAGTTGGGAGTCCGGGGGGTCCACTTGCATCAAGAATCTTGATTTTCGTGACACTAAAATCAAACAGAGAGAATAGGACAAGTTCAGCATCTGAAACAAGCCACCATGAGCAGAAATGGGATGAAGCAGCATATTCTCATTCTTTTGGAAACAACTTAAAACTATTTTTCATAAGAGAATAGAGAAATCAATACATTAGATACTAAGTAACCCATTTGATCTATTATATGCAAGGAATCAGCCCAAGCCTGATATCCGTTTCACTTATGCTAGAAGGCCCAAGAAATAATCAGAAGAATGATGAGTTGGAAGTTTGTTAGAAATCAGTTTTGGGGAAGAGGGTAAAATAGTAATCCATGAATAAGTTGGTTACTAGTTTGTTTTTTTGATTCTCTGTATTAGCTGTGCTTAAGTTTGTTAGCTTGCTTAATTTTGGGTATTAATAGGGGGTTTGGTTAAGGGGAATGTATTAAGAAATATATTGTGGAGTTTGTTGTGGAGAGCACCTTCCTCTCGAAAGAAGGCACTGTATTGTTGAACACTCTGTTTGATAATACAACTATCCCCCTTGGCCACCATTTTCTCTCTCTAATTAGCTTGTTTACTTGCTATTTTCATACTAATTCCCAGCAAACTGGTATCAGAGCGGTGACGATTCAAGCCGGAGAAGACGATGGCTCGCTTGAATCATGGACAACGTTTGGATTTGTTGGAGCAGGAGATCGCTGGGATTCCTTCGCGGGTGGCTCAAGAGATCACGACGGAGATTGCGGCACTCAAAACGACCTCAATGCTCAGCTAGCTGCTGGGCAGGAGAAAATCCGATCGGAGGTCCGCTCATCAATGGTGAATGGGTCACAACACCAGTGGGACAACCCATTCTCCGTGCCGCCACATCTGGACTATGGTCCGCTCATCGAACTGGAAGTTAAGGAAGCTCGATTTGCCACTCTTTGATGGAACTAATCCGGATGGTTGTTCTTCTATTTTTAGTGGCTAAGTGAGGAGGACCAGCTCGAGGCGGCCGTAGTGGCACTTGATGGTGACGCGCTGCTGTGGTTCAGTGGGAGCACCGGCGTCAACCCTTGTTAAACTGGGAAGCTTTGAAGAAGCTGCTTCTCCGCCGCTTCAGAACCACCGCGACCGGCACCTTGCATGAGCAGTGGTTCGCTCATCAACAGACCGGAACTGTGGCGGATTATCGGCATCGTTTCATAGAGCTGCTAGCTCCCATTGATGGAGTGCCAGAGGATATAGCGAAAGGGCAATATATTAATGGATTAAAGGAGGAAATACGGGTCCCTAGAACAATCTTTAAGATATACCTTTGATCATTAATATAAAGTATATTTCAAATTGCACAATCTTTAAGATATACCTTTGACCATTAATTATTTTAATTACGTATTAATACAAATTATAAAAAGCTGATATTAAAACTACACATTAAGAAGAATCTAACAATATCTCACATGACTTTTATGGAATATATTAATGAGAATTTTTGGTCATTTTTTAAAGTTTGATCATGAAAAATAGAAATAGACACTATATTATGGGACAGAAGGAGTACTCAACTCCAATTTCCTATCCCAACATCCATTATGGGAAGGAATTGTTTCCAAGCAAGAGATCACTTGCATACAAGCTAAGAACAAATCCTTGCTCCCTAGAACAGTGCTAAGGGATTCTTTGTTATTCCAATTTTAGTATATATTTGTAGACTACAGGCCAGCCTCTAATTTGAGAACACTGTACACAACATGCAGTTCATCACCGAATGCAGACATCCTGCTTGACTGTAGCAGTGAAACATTGACAAAGTAGTTAACTCCAAATGATGACAGGAAAGTGCACGCTAGAAAGGGAGTACCTAATGGGTGTTTTAACTAGCTTCTAAAATTGGTTCTAACAAAAATTGCTTAGATAAAACTACCTTGAAAGCCAGTCCAAGTGAAGCTTCTATACTAAGTAAAACAGAGATCTTAGAGCTTTGGCTTTAGCTTTCTATGGCTTAATAAGGTCCAGTTGCATTTTCTATGCCTATCAGATTGGTGACTTTGATGCAATCCAAGCAAAGAGTTGTGTACATAACTTTGTCATTACCTTAAACCAAGAATGCCATTTAGGAAATTGATGGACCGACCTATGATCATGTAATTAGATAAATGAAGTTTCTTAACTTTAACTTGTTGCACAAAAAGGTCTTCTGCCACACACCCCCCCCCCCTCCAAAAAAAAAAAAAAAAAAAAATCTCAGTAAGGCGCTGAAAAGAAAATTGTCCAGTATTAAGGAAGCAATGGAAAATGTGGAGATTATTTCAATCTGGTAATTGATGACATTATGACCAGCAAAGCGGCAATTACAATGGCAATAAGCTTAGGCTCAATGAAAAATACTTGACTACATCACTGCACTGGCTCCTATTAGTCCTATATAAAACAACCCAATCAGGCCATCTTAACTGTTAAGGCACCTACTCAAGTAACCAATAACCCATCTATGGGCCTACAGTACCCTGTATTAATCTCAGATAGATGGTGCATATTTGGCTTCACATGAAGTAAATGTGTCACAATATCAAACCAAAAACCACATCACTTTCTAAGCTGCTAGCACATGCTGCAAATTCAAAGAAAGCATGAAGAATGAAAAACCGGAAACTCGTTTGGTTTTCTTAGAGGGAAAATACTAATGAGATTGGCTTTTAGGAATGATATGTCATGTCACTATATCAGAATTTGATATCACGAGGGATTCAAAAAGGATAAATTGGTCTTACTAGATAACATCCCTGCAGCAAGTGTAACAAACAGAGGAAGTGGACCCAGAAAGTAGATGTTAAAACTGCCAAAAAACATCTTTGTTTCCTGAAATGCCTATTGTTTCGATTTTGAACTAGTTTACTTCGGGATAGTACTAGGGATGATTTGCAGTGTCTGATGAAATTAATTCCACAATGTATTAGTGGTATCTGGCCCTTTTTTCATGGAAAATTTTACTCTTTAACTATCTATTTCATTATCTTAAGATAAGTGATAGAAGATTGAAAAATTTAAGATAAAATTCGCATACCTTTGCATGTCATAAATATGAATACTTGCATTGTTAACCTCTGCAATAGCATCTCCAACAGCTAAGCGTGTAGAGGTATCATTGAGAGCAACCATTGGATAAACACGTACAACCTCTTTCAAAGTTGCCATTGAACTCTGGAGGCAAGTCTTGCGCATAACTGTATTGGCAGGATCCATTGTTTGCAAGATGAAGTTGATCACCTGCACATCTGTCTGAATGTCAGAGCCATTAAATGTTCAAGCAATGCAGAAAAATCATAAGTTATTTATCAGATATAAAATTCTAAAACAAAATTCAATAGAAGTAAGTTTACTACATTAATTCATTTGGAGTATTTTAATAACCTATAAGTTGTGATACCATTAGCCACTTGAAAAGAAAGCAAAGAATATCACTTTCAATTAGAACATGATACAGATTAACACAACTTTTTGGCACAAACCATGCATATGAACAGTTGTAGCCTGATTGCCTGAATAATAGCACTCAGGGTGTGTTCTCTTCAAAATATATTGAATGATTTGGACTTGTATGTTTGAACTTTTAACTTATATGATCTCATTTCATTGAACTTATTATGTAACTTTTTGTCTGAATAAGTTGCAACACACCCAGAAACTTGCAGTTGCCTAACAGATTGTGTTTAGACATTCAGATATCCTTCAAGTAAAACAAATGCTATATACTATCAAAGAAGAAGGATGCCTAGTATTCTTGTCATTATTTTCCAATATTATATCCAACAATTTCATAGACACTGTTTTCCAATATTGAATCTAACAATTTTATAGACATAAGAATGGAATCGCAAACCTTATTTAGATACTGAGCTAAGTTTCTGGGCGAACCACGCATGAGCCTAATGAAAGTCATAAGGGATACTATATGAACTGGTGAATCAGAGGCAGTAGACCAAATAAGGCCTTCGACTACACTCAGAAATCCAGGTATATCTGCCAATGCTAAACTTGGAAGAAGAATGTTGACTAAAGTTTCCCGAAGTTTAGGAGGTACAGCTGCAGCCACAGATGAAGTATTCGCAGAAGCACCACTTACACATTCTATTTGAAAGAAAATGTCCTCAATAAAACTATGAATTTCAGCACCTATACATGCTTTCCATGTTGTCTCCATGCCTTCAGCTAGGAGTTCAGCAGCTGTACAACTATATTTCTCATTCATAGCCATGACTAGTTTTATTAGTGGATGGACGACCAACATGGCAAGGCTGGGTTTTACAAGACTTGGATACCAAACAGCTAGAGCTGCTGCAACAATAATATGAGATGCCATCGCATCTTGACTTGTTCCACCAACACAAGAAATCCAATCCTGCAGTTCATAAGATTCAAGCCATTTCTGTATCTCAGCTTCTTCAACTTGCAAAGATGCCCCTTGAATTTCTGCAGACCTTTCAGCATGCAGACAGCTAGCCTGGGTTCCTGTCTTTTTCTCATTTACCAATTCGCTTTCTCCCACTTGACCTACAGAGTTTACAGTATTCGTGTGTTCAGTTGTTCTCAAGCAACACAAGGGTGGAGGGATAGCCCTTGAAGCAGCACAGTGAAATAAAGATCTGGCAGCCAAACGAACATGCTCATCTTCATCTTGCCAGAAGCTGACCAATAGCTGAAATTGAATGAAAACCACATATTTCAGGATCAATATAAAACTTGAAACAGAAAGATGCATATAGCTGAGCTACTTGGGTCTTAAATGAGAACCGATGTGGACTGAGGAGTGTAACAATCAAAAGGTTGATGTTCAAAACCTTGTTGTTTGTTCGTTTTTTTTTCTTATTATAATTTATTATTTATTCACTTATTTTTTTTAAAGTTATGGCTTATATTCTTAATACTCCTAGCTGAAAGAGACAAATTCGTTCTTACAGAACTTCGAACTGTTCATGCTACAGTCTTACAAAATTTCCTGCTACCAGCTTTGGTTAGTACAACAGAAAGTCTGCATCAATAACAGCTTATATCGCTTCAAAATTTTGAGAATAAGCAGCTATACAGCTCAATTCAAGAAGAGTATCAAGTCTATCAACTATTTAATACTAAGAAACTGAAAGGTTGTCGAACAAGTTAAGAAAAACACAAAATTCATCCAAATCACACACAGTAAAATCAAGAAACACAAAAAGGAAATGCATGCATTCAACAAGAGATCTAATTAAGGTCTCGCCAACCTGTAGTGATGGAGGCTTCACACCAGGAACTTTCTTAGCGAAATTACGTGTATAGAATGCAGATAAAGCACTGCATCATGGATTCAAAAAGTTAGATTGATGATCCCAGGATAATAATAAGGCCGAAAGAAGACATATCATAAATCGTTGTACCATTAGTAACTACTAAATAATGGCGAAGAATGCAAATCCAACATCCAATGGATATGCTATGTGACCACATTATTACCGAATCCATTTTCTATGAAATGTGGCAGTGATGAAGATAATGTCCTATTTGTTTTATTGCATTGGACTATATGTGAAGTTTGTATAATTGTGTGTTATAACTGTTTAGAGCTAAACAGATCCGGGGAGAATCATTAATTTGCTTTAAAATTTTTTGCAGGAGACAGGAAACACTTCAGGCATACATAAAGTTTACAAGTTTGTTATTTAAAGTAGAATGGAAAATGTAGTATTCGTATTCCGGTCAACAAATCATGTTTTCCGGCTTAAGTAAATCTTCCATTGTTTCCTTTGTTTGCTCACAGCTTTTCTTCTTCTTTCCTAGTTACACACTTGGAATAACAGCGTGGGAATATTAATACTAGGCTGTGATCACTTGCTTAATGGGTGTTACTTTCCTTTTTTGAGGTCTTTAAGATTTTCAGATAATATATGCTTATATTTTGATGTATACATATCCAACAAGAAAATTTTCTAGCCCTTGTTTCCTCTCTTTTTTTATTTTTCATAATTCCCTGCTAACTCTTATGTATTCATTTTTCTTAAAAATATTGGTGTTTGCATGAAAAATAATAGTTCACTTTTTCAGAAAGAACAAATTTATTGGTAAAGAAGAAATTTGTAGATACAATATGCAGAAATATTTCCATTTTAGAAAATGTATCCCAGAGTTTCCACAGTGAAAATTGGCCGAGTCAAGTAAAAAATTTGGGAAAGTGCAGACCTTAAATTTGACGTGTTCGGTGTTCCTATAAGCTTACATCTAGCCAAAAGGCCTTTAGGGTACCATAATAATTGATATCCATAGAAATTTAACATACCCCCAGATTGATTTCACACATAGATGTACAGACAAAAACAACAAAGATGTATCAGACACTTCATGTTGGAGCAAATTTACTATTCATCAACCATAGAGAAGCAATCTCTCTCTTCTCCTCACTTCTCGATAGCTTAATTTAGGGGACTGACTGAATATCAAGTTAGAAAGGTATCTGTATAATCCAAAAAGTTTGGTAAATGATTTGACATGGAATCAAGTTATTTATTGAACTTTGGACCTTTATTCCAGGAATAACAGTTAGTTTAATAAAACATATTCAGAATATTAAACTGCAAGTTTTTAGTAGGTTGTATCCCAGCTCCTGTGTCCAACTTTAAAATATTGTTCCTGTCCAAGATTTTTCCATTGTGAATTGGACACTATATACAAAATTTAGATAACATAGCATGTACATAAAAGTTAACATTATTCCCACCTAATATTCCTGCTAAGCATGTAATTTATTCAGCTCAATGAATCAATTGCCACCAACTAGATGATAAAAAGCTTCTCAATGCAATTATGAGATAAGTTACTTATACCACAATAAATAAATAAATAAATAAATAAAAAAAACCAGTCTACGGATAACAGATGATGACATTCTGCAATAGGCACTGCAATACCTGCTGGCTCCTGAACAAGAGTGGGACAAGCTAACCATGCTCTGGGCAAGGGACAGCATTGTCAATGACCTCAGTGCACAAAATTTTGATGATGATTTCCAAAGCTGACAATTTAATTTGGGGGCTTAGGATACTATGCGACACGTATGAAAGAAATTGACATAATGTAATAGGAACATCAAATCACCTGAAGAGCAGAACTGAAAGCAGGGAATGTTATTGTAAAAGATCCTCCATCCCCTTCCAAACCAGGAGCCAACATAACGTTTTCATATCTTTTTATATTCATTTCCATCATAAGTAAGCGCTCAAGTTCAACATCGACACCCCATAGATGCAAAAATGAGAGGCTGAATTGCAGTAAGCTTAATCTAAATGAGTCAATGCATTGATTAATCTTCGTCATATCTCGAAGATTCCCTTGCTCAACAGAATAATTTGACATAGTCCCCAGCTCGGAATTAATTGATACCTGTGATTCATTTAGAGGGGCATCTGATTTGTTTCCTTCAACATCCCCAAAAACATCAGGAGATAACAAAGCTGAAAGGTCAAAACTTAGAATTGCAATTCCAGATATTGGACGGGAACATCTAATTGGAAGCTTTTCATGGTTTCCTGTACTTAGTTTAACAGATCTGGCACTACTACTACTGAGTGATGACGAGCTGCGCTCTGTCAGATTTATTTCACTGAATGAAACAGACACACGGCTTTCTAGATTAGATGGCAACGAGCTTCCTTGTTCTGTCAATGATGGGATCAATGAGGATCTCGAGGTATTATAATTGGATGCATGCCCAGATATGTTAACACCTTTGCAAAAGTTATTAAACATTGAGTGAGCTGCTGCACTGCGCAAAACCCGCTCTCTAGAACCAGCCTTCATATCCCATATGTATAAGGCGTCCTTTGTACCTGATGCTACTGACAGATTCTGAGAAAGGCAAGCCAAATAACCTCTCACACCATCCCATACCACTTGCAGAGGATAGCTAGGATGTCCTGGAAACATTCTTTCAACACGCAAAGTCTCAAGAGACACAAGGGCAACACAACAGTCCTCACCAACAGAGAGAAAACATTCATTCCACGGATGATAACTTTGCAATGGTGGCAGGATTATTTGGCGAACAGGGGCCACATGGTGGTGCAGCACCATAATTGTATTGCAAGTCTCAAGATCCCATACACGAAGTGTGCAATCCATGCTCCCTGACAATAGAACATTGCTGCATACCTGCTCAGTGGAAGCCCCTGTCATCTGGTGCGCTGCCAAACATAAAACTGGCCCTTTGTGTCCCAAAAATTGTTTTTTGGATGCATCAGAGTTTATTTCCTGCGCCAAGAAGTTGAACTGGACTAGCTCTATTAGACCGCTATGATAGCCATACACAATTGCATACGGGGTATGAGCATATAGTGATATAATCATTGTTGAAGAAACAATATTTTCTTTTGTGCAATCTTGATCATCTTTGTGCAAAGTGCCTGCAACTACCTGGTCTAGAGTACTAGCCATTGTAGTCAAAGGAGACACTCCAGGAGTATGCTTTGAGGCCTCAGAGTTTATCACATAACTTGATTCATCAGCCCAATCGTCAAGGAAGTCCCCTTCTCCAAGTAACCTACAGATTTTGCCAAAGCTCTCGTGGTCATCAGGCAGCTGATGCAGTGACCATATAGTTACACGAGGTCTCCACAAGGAAGGCTCCTCATTATGAAAGCAAATTGATTCAATTCGAAGAAAGTTTTGTTGCAATTGAACAAACTTACTTGACAATTTCACATTCACCGGACAAGCAGTAGCAGGTATCTGATTTACAACCTCATACTTGAAAGTGTCACCCACATAAGATAACTCGTATATGATGGCTGATCCTCTCTCATCCCACACAGAAAATTTCAAACCTATGACATTGTGAACATTTCCGGACTCTGAAGTACAAGTATGGTCAGAAGTGAAAAACATGCCTCCAGCGACACGTGATACACTGAAATCAGCTCCACCACGATGGTTGTCTTCAAAAGAAATGACTCCAATTACCATAGCACTGGAAACTAAGAAAAAGATGCAGCCGGTTTTATACACTAATCCAAACAATTGCCCAAAAGTGGCTACAGATAATACCAATTCTCCTTCATAAGGCCTGTTATTCACAAGAGAAGAACTTTGATGCAGCTTCACCCCACCCTCTTCCAGATTATAGTCTTTAACCAATGGAATACACTGACTTTTACCAAATGAATCAATTACAAGAGCGGAATGCTTTTGTTTGTCATCAATAAACTCAACTAGGGTCATGAACTTTAGTGGCCCAATCGACAATTGCCCATTAAATACAGTTTGCACAATATTGAGGGAATATGTATCAACAATAATAATAGTACATTTCAGTGGTTTTTTGCTCAAAGATTCCTCATCCCCAGGAACCTCACCCCCTTCAGTCGAATCCACATTTTCAGCGTCCGAACTACGTGAATTATCAGCAAAACACGAAGCCACACATACATATCTCCTATTTGCCGGCAATGCCTGAACAATGGATGGACTGCCAACCCAAGCAGGCAACTTCCTTCGACACCTACAATGTCCACTCCCTCGACTCCAAACACACAATAAACCATCACTACACACACTTACTAATGCAGCCTGATCGCTGCCGGGCAGACTGTCAAACCCTACACCACTATCATCATTATCAACCTTTTCATCTAATGAAGGTAAAAGAGGATAAGCAACGCAAAGATCAGCTATTGGCGCAACATGACCACATAACATAGCAACAGGTTTAATCTTCTGCAACCAAACACAATTACCAAAACTAATCACCAATCTCAATCAAATCAAATGTGCCATTTTCATGATTGTAAGCATTGAATTGAATTGCGAATAGTTTAGAAGTTGATTACTTAATGAAACATGTACAAATACGGAAACATTGCTGAAACTTTGATAAAATGTTGCAATTAATATGAAACTTGGATAAAACATTGCAATATACGCAAAATGAAGTGAAAATTAGTATGAATTAACAGAAATTTGATTGAATTTAGTTGGTCAATTCATCAAACAGTTGGTGGACATGAAAATGTGTGTGAGAGAGAGGCTGACCGGAGAAGAGGTATCGTCGGAGAAATGCCACCAGACGACGGAGCCGTCGGAGGCGCCGGTGTAAAGAGACAACGGTTTGTCGATAACAGCGACGGCGGTGATGCGGTGAGACGGCGGATTCTTCGGCCAAATTCCGACGATCGATCTACAGTTCATCGCAATTTTACTTGATCACTGATTTTGTGTTTCTCTCTCATCAATTCCGGTATAGAAGTTGTGTGCGACGGTGAGACGTTGTTCGGGTTAGTCAAGTGACTCAAGTCCGTAGTCATTGAGGTGGACTGGGTCTTACTGAGTGGGCTGGATAGTGAGGTTGTTGTTTTTGGTGGGCTGACAGAAATTTGGTCCAGATTTGAAAAGCAAGGATATCTACTTATTTTTTATTTTTTTTTTGAAAGATTTTCTCTTACTTTCTTCGCTTTAGAATAATGAGGAAGCCCAATTTATCTCTTTGTTAAACAACATTCGTTTATCAAATGGCAAAATTGTAAATGAATCAACAATTTTTGCCTAATCATCATGACATATTTGTAAATAAATCAACTATTGTGGGGTCTATTTTCTAGTCATCATGGCATGATTATAAACAAATCAACGGTTTTTTCACCATATACCACTGAGTTTTCACTTAATTCACCATATACCATCGAAAACTTTTAATTTCACCATATACCACTGAGTTTAACAAAAATGTCATAACATCCCCTTTTCCTTTACTCCGTTAGTCATTATTAGTTAATTAAGCCACGTGGCAGCCTCTAATGGACTCTTATTTTAATTAATTAATTAAGTAATTTAAAAAAACTTTTTACAAAAATTATTAAAAAAAAAAAACCACCACCACTTACTTGCCAGCCACTATCTCGCCCTCCCATAACCGCCACCTAGCCTTACCCCTCGTCTCCGGCTCCCAACTGCTCTCCCCACCGCGCCGCCGCCGCACAACCTCCCTGCCCTATGCCGGTGCCCACGTCCCTCCTCTAAACCACCATACCCAACTCGAATTCCCCCTCCCTTCCCGGCTTAAAACTACTAGCCAAAACACCTTTGCCAAAAACCACCATGCTGAAACCCAACGCCGGCGACATAGATCCCCCCTCTCACGTCGCCGCCGCTCGATTTAGCTGCAAACAACCAACCCAAAACCACAAAACCCAAAATCAAAACTTAGGTTTAGAGGGGGGGGGGGGGGAAAGGGGTGGAGTTGGAAGAGGGAGGGGTGACTTAGGTTCGTCGACACGGGGAAGGGGTTTGAGCGCCATCGATTTGTGCGTCGGTGGTTAGGGAGCGAGAGTTTTTCAAGGGAGGGAGAGGGTTTTAAGGTGGTGGGATAGTGGTGGTGGCTAGTTGGGTCAGATTTCGCGCCGGCCGATCGGATTCCACGCCGGCGGGCGGTGTCAGGTTATGGTGGTGGTTGGCTGGGTGGACATAGGTGGCTATTTTTTTTTTAAATTTTTTGATGATTAAATTAAATAATTTAAAAGAGATTCAATTATATGTTGCCACGTGGCCTTATTAGCCTTAATGACTAATGGTGTTAACGTCCGTTAGTCATTAATGGCATGTGGTGACATTTTTGTTAAACTCAGTGGTATATGGTGAATTTGAAAGTTTTCGATGGTATACGGTGAATTAAGTGAAAACTCAGTGGTATATGGTGAAAAAGCCGATAAATCAACTATTGTGGGGTCCATTTTTAGTAAAAAGTTGTTGATGTATTTACAGTTTTGCCATTTGATAAACATATTTTGTTTATAAGAAGATAACTTTGTATTTTCTCCAGAAGAATTAATATGTTGACTTTTTTCAGTACTCACGCACTAACTTTGATTATAAGTTTTTTATTTAGTAACATATTAAAAACAATTCGATCTTGAAAGATGTAGTTTAATAGTATTAAATTTCACAATATCAAATTTTGTAAAAAACCACATCTAATATCCTTAATTTTGTAAAAAAGCACATTTTTAAAAATGTTGTAAATAACCACTCAATTTAATTTTTGTTGTAATACTGAGTCAGTGCCTTTGTAAGTTAAGGACGCTGGTTTTTGAAGATCGGTGCTTTTTTGACCTTTTTTTTTTTGGGTTTGGGCAAGAGTTTTATGCACTGATTTTCATTCTTTTGCTGCTTTCTTATTACTTTTTTTTTTTTTTTTTTTCCACTAATGTGATTTGTATATATATAAAGATGGTTAAAGGTATAAATAGTCAAATTTGTGTGTTGACTACACATGTAGGTCAAAGAAATCTATACTCTATATAGTATTAAAAAGTGTTTTGAAACAAGTCCACACGCTACGTGGCACTCTGTTGTTGGTTATCATTCCATATACGTTAAAAATGGAAACATGACTTGTATAAGAATTGAAGCCTTTAGTGTAAAAAAGGAAACATGAGTTAATTCAAGACTAGGCTGGATTAGCATTAAAAACTTAATCGTTGAACTATACCATAGTTAGTGTCGTTTATTGTAAATAAAATAAATCAATAAAAGTAGAATTGAATCATGAAACCAGAGGAATCTATCGCCCATACTCGACAACTAGCTAGTACGTATCAAATTTAAAAATTGAGGTTTGCGTTAACCATATATATTCTTTAATTAATCTTTTGCTAGGCTTTAACTTCACCAACTTAGAATTAAAAGTTACTGGTCACCAAACCCTCACATTTGGTGCACAACCCCTTAGAATTATAGAAATGGATAGATCGTAGATATTACAATGAACTGTTTTTTTGACTTTTTATCTTCGACTTAGTTTTTACTTGGACGAAAGCAGAAAACTATGTTTCTTGACTCTTGAGCATTCTGGAAGCTTCCTAAGGCTTAAGGATTAAAAACATAGATAAGTTGTATTTGTACAAGTATCACTTACGTACTCGATCTCATGCGGTTTTGTGTAGAAATATTTATCGTTAAGTGTAAAACTCCGTAGGAGGTTACTCCGTAACAATTTTGAGTTTTGAGGGCTTAATTTAGTGACGCAATTATTTACCAATTTAGTAGGACGACAAGATAGTAAGATGCTTGTAAGTATCGTGGCCAAAAAATAAAGAATTAAAGCTAAGGAATTCGATCGATCTGCAATTAACATGTACTCGATCGTATAAGTATATAATTTTCATTGTTTTTCTTTTACATTTTCTATGTGCACTTTTTGTAAGTAATCAACAAAAGAAATGATAGATCAAGACTACTAATTAATGAATTAATTAATGTGCACAAGCACCAAATTAATGGTGTTAATTATCTAAATAATTACATGGAACTACAATAATAATAAGATTAAAATCGAGAGAGGAATTGGAGTTGCTTAAGAAGAGGGCTCAAAGTCTCCATCAATTTCTCGCTAGGATGATTATGAATGCCTTCATATGTTGTAATAACGATACTTTTATCCCTTGAATGGCGTTGTATCTGTTTCTTTACGTTGCATGTATGGTATGTGCAACGATAATAGCTCCTTCACCATGCAAAGCATAAAGATTAAGAACAAAAGTTAGGACTTTAATTAAAGATTAAGAACAAAAGTTAGGACTTTAACTAAAAAGTACAGTAGCTAGCTAGATGAATTTATTCGATCATCATTCTTGTTCTTGGAACGAATGTAGGATGACAACCCAATAACACATGGAAGATTTTTACCTCATAGTAACATTCGCAACATATTGCTTCATATTATAAGTACTTATTAGACTATGTTCTATTCGACTGTTGACATACTTTGTCAAACCTTATTAATTGTTATATCTTAGCCTATACGAAGTATAAATTTGAATTGTTTGAACTCATCCAAAAAAATATTAATCTTGTCATAATTTATATCTAATAGATAGACGACCACAGTACTACTATTTGTGAAAGTTGATCGAGTAGTATGTAACAGCAAAAGAAATGCAAGAACTCTTTGGGACAATAATAGCCATAAACACTAATGTTTTTTTGTATTTACGTCTCAAGAAATATTATATACTCATATAATTTAATTTAAATTTAAATTTCCATATAACCTTTATATGGAATGGTAGCTTAATTAGCAATTTTATTATTACCATATGATCAATAAACTTATTGTACTTCATTAGACATATATTATTCCATGTATAATGTTTTGAATCTAATTTCATTCTAAATATATGAATAATAATCCATTAGAAATTTGATAGGATATGATTCATACGAATTGAAGTAATAGAATATAGCTAATAATGTATTAATGTAGCTAGATGATGTTATCAATATACTGTATATATCATAACAAATATCAATATACTCCATAACATATTAACACTCCATATTTATTTTCCATCAACTATTATATAATCAATTATCTGTATAATTATCAATTTTATATTTTTGCCAAGTTCTTTTTAATATATAAAATTAAACCCATGCATGCATGCAATTTACAGACGATCTGATTGATCTAGGTTAGAAAAAAAAAATGAAATAGGTTACCTTATAAACCTACCATTCATCATGTACTAATTTAATTATACTTCATATTAAAATAAAACGTCACGTGAGTCACTAATAATCTCTATTATTGCTCTTTCTACTTTGGCATTTTGTCTCTAAATTAAGAAAGGTTCCAAGTTGTTTCAAAAAAAAAAAAAAAAAAAAAAAAAAGAAAGTTCCAAGTACGAAGAACAAGCAGAGACGTATCAACATATTTAATTTAAGTTTAGACAAGAACGTACAAAAAAAAAATGCAAAATCATGATCGATATAGATTTTATAAAGACATACCTAGGGTGGGTGCTATTTTTGACAGATTTCTGACCATATTTTCTCCATTTATACCCATCATCAAGAACATCTTCTACACTTTTTGTATGGAAGCAAAACCTCGGAGGCACAACTTTTTTCTTCATAGAATTAGATGAACATGCTATTGATCTTGATACTTTACTACTTGAACTATTATTGTACTCATTATTATGGGTTATTTTCCCTTTATCTTCTCTGCCTTTAGTCGGACCGTTATTACTATTATCGTTGAAATGGTTGTGGTTAGCTGGAGCTGATGAGGTTGATGATCCTACTGACACCGGGCTCGGCTCAAGACCCTTTTGTGGATCATTAGAAGCCGAAGAGAAAAGGTTAACCCAATCAATGTTATCTAAAATAGGAGGAGTTTGAGGGATTTGAAATTGTGAGCAATTAGGGGTTAATGGAGAGTATAATAGGTTGTTTAAGGAAGAAGAAACATTATTAATGTTGTTATTATCATTAATAATGTTATTATTGGTAAATGAAGATGTAGGGTTGGGTGAAAATGTGTGGTTTTGGATAAACTGATGATTATCATCTCCGTTATTAGAAGTGAAAATTTGCATTAGATGACGATCATCATCATCGTTGTTAGTATTGTAATTAGGTATTAGGGTTGATGGTTGTTGGACAAGATCTTGGGGTAATAATAGAGAAGTTATCCCAGTTGATTCCATTTGGAGAGGGAAGTTGTACAAATTTTATGATTTGGATAGATTATGTTGTGGTTGGTAAAAATAGGAATGTTTTCTTTGCTTGTTGAAGATGGTATTTATATTAACAAGGGGAAAGAGGTAGTTGAAAGGTATTGGGAGGAAGGTAGACAAAGGTAGGTAACTGCGCAGCCTCATTTTTGCATGATGTAAAAGTTTTTGACCTGGCCTTATAGTACTTGTTAGGACTATGCTCGGAGATATATTAGATTTAATACTTGTATATAGTAAGTCATATACAAAATATACTAATTTATTAGAATATACGAAGATTAAAAAAAAAAAAACAAAAAAAATAAAGATTATGTTGAGATTATTTCAAAACATTTATACCTCATGCCTCTCGAGTGTAGTAGTGCGTGGTGATAGATCGATGAAAGAAGACAACTACTCCGTATTGTACATGTTATTATTTAGTATATATAATGGTTCTTTTTATTACTTATAAGGGTTGGGTAATGTAACTATTAATTTTAATATGAATGGTGGAATATAATTCATTTCTCGCCACTTATTTAGACTGATGATTTGATGTTAATGTTGCATGTGTAATTAGCATTATCTAAAGAATTGAAAGTCTAGAAATTTACTACACTTTGTAGAAGTCGACTAGTTTAATAAGTTCGATCCACAACGTTACATTATTGTTAAATATACGCGATAAAATTGGCATGGACAAGATTAAATTATATATAACGGCCAGTTGATCCTCTGTCCTTAACTCAATTTGAATATTAGTCTAGACGAATGGAGTAATAACATATGTGAAAAATTCATGTAAAAAGGGAATCAAGATTCAAAAGTGTTAAAAAACACGTGGGAAAGGTAGAGAAAAGAGGGAGCTTGTAGCATACAATAAAAAAGAGAAGTAGAGCCAACCATACACTACTTAATTTTGTTCAACTGCCTTAGCAAAGTATAGAGGGATTGTATGTGTGACACACAAACGTATCCCAGAATTTATCTGTCGTCAGCAACCAAACAAAACACAAGCTGCCGTATTTTATGATATTAAACTTATAATCTAAGAGGACTAGAAATTAAAATCCAAATATATATACTATATAATTTATAATTATGCTAGAGATTAATTTTTAAATGGATAATAATGGTATGTGGTTTCTGAATCAAATGACACGTGTTTTATTAATAATTAATTAAGATGACTTTTAAGCATTTAATTTGTTTTATAATGAGTTGTATATATACTTGTATACTTTGAAGAAGGATCGGAATTGGATAGAGTAGCTAATTTGCCAGTATATATTATTGACCATGCATTGAATTTTAATTTGTTTTTGTGTAGTAATTTGCTTGGTGGAATAATTCACCATGTGTATTGTATTAGCCACGTCTCACAATGAAATAACGAGACAAATATCACATTTTGAGCAATAAATCAGAATTTAGATATTTTATCTTATAGTTTGAACGTAACATTATCTACCGATATAATATAATCATAATGTGTTAAAGTCTTAGGGGTGATAATATAATCTGATATCCATGACATGGGATCAAATCCATTCAATTCAACATCATTCACTACATGTATGCATGTCCTTGCAACTCACTTTACATTAAAAAAAAAAAATTAATATATATATATATATATGTATGTATATGAGAACCCCAACTTAAGTGAGAATAAATCTAGACCTTTGAATTGAGGTGATTCATCTGACGGCTCTTATTCAACCTGCCCCATTAAGGGTAAATGGGTAATTTCACAATTTGAATGACTACCCTCAATCTTCTCAATTTTTATTTTCACTTTATCTCTCTTCATTACATTTTCTCTCTCCTCCTTCATATTCTCTTTGTTCCTGCGAATTCGTTTTTGGTACTCTCATTGTTGCATCGATCTTGCTTTAATCTTCTTCGCTCTTCATATACCTTGATTCTGGACAATTAAGGTATTTGAGTTTTCTTTCTGTGTTGTTATTTATTCAATTTGTTTTTAAGTTTATGAATTTTTTATTATATCGAGTATAAAATTATGGTTTTTGCTCATTTTTGCTCAGCGATTTATGATTTTGATTATTATCGTTGAGATATTTTTGGCGATTTTTGTTGACATTTCTCACGATTAGGTGTCTAATTTGGAGAATTTTTTTTTTATTTTGTGTAATTTTTATTTTGTGTAATTTTATTTAATTAGGGTTTTTTCTTCGTTTTTGGAATACTTACAATCTGCGATTTTGTAGTTCGCTTTTTGTTTTTTTTGATCAGTTATGGTTTTATTAATTATTGTTTGTGATTTTGTTTTTATTTCAATTGATTTTTTTTCTTGAATTGCTTTATTTGTTAATTTGTTGTATTGTATTTGTAAGCTATTTGATATGTCTTTGTGATACATACCTTTTGATCAATTTGTAGCCAACAATGGGGTATTTTTCAAATTAAAGCCTAATACTACTAGCAACTGCTGATGTCCACACCATTATATACTCTGTATGAAATAAAAGAACACATAATTTAACCCAAAAATCTCAAATTGCGATTCTAAATGAGAGCACTATGAGTATGAGCATTGTGTACAGAGTATCTGGGTGCACCATCGACATCCCTAACCTACTTCTTCTGCCAATCGCAAAGTGGTCTTGCGTGTAACTTCCTTTGAGCTTGTAATTGCCCCAAACTCATGTGCATAGAGTAGTAAACTTATTTTAATTGAAAAGAAAGAAGCTAAGTAATGATGGGTTGAAAGGTTATATGCTTATATGCTCAAATGACACTTAAATTCGAAGCACAGTTTTGTTCTTTAGAATATTGGCAAACAGTAACTTTTATTCAAATTTCAGTTTTGTCAAATGGCAACTTCAGATTGCATAGTTTGCCTTATAAGGAGAACTCTGTATCAAGAATCATTTTCGGCTACATTACCAATAAGAAATTACCATCCATGCATAGTTGCATAATAAGATGTTTTGGTCTTATTTGCTTATTCAATGATAATTTATCAGATGACCAAATTTTTATTTGCTTATCTGTTAATTGAGCAAATAAATATTGCTCATTTGTCAAATGAGCAGGCAATAATTTGCTCATTTTTCAAATGAGCAAGCAATTATTTGCTCATTTTTCAAATGAGCAAATTATTCTTTGCTCATTTGTCAAACAGTGAGTATATATGGGATATAGTGGCTTATGTTTCTGGTGTTGCCGTGCTGAGATAGCTACGCTAAGTAACTTAGCTGGATCCGACTACTAGTGTAACTTCTTTGTAGCTGGGAGTAATAAGATAAATCCCCTATCCTTGTTTTCTTCTCTTTGATGCGCAGAAGTCGGACCTAATTAGTGAAAAAGGACACAAGGTAATGAAGGTGAACCACTGGATGTTCTTGTCTGACTGTTCTAATTCTAGTATAAGTGATGAAAGGTCAGTACATTTAGTTTTGAATTTTCCTAGAGGGTGGTGGAAGGAAAATGTTTGTAAAATTCTAAGTTGAATCATCAAATTTTGTTGATAGTGGTTAGACTGTTCTGTGAATAGAAGGGGATGGTTGTCAAAGTAGTTGGCTTCTGGGAGAGGCTGATGATGGCCTAAACCTTCAATCTTACTTCCCTAGTCAACAATGGAAAGTTTGCTAATGCCAAAGTAGTTTAACCTTTCCCTTGTTGATTGCTTCCGCCTTTCATTAATTTTTATCCATTACACTGATGGTTTATACTTGTAGTAATTTTATTCATATGCTGTATGCAATTAGGTGACCCATCATTCATAATTTGTCATTTAAAGCTACTTGTTTTGTGTCCCATCTATTTAAAGCAGATTTTTTTTGGATTTATACTCATACAAGTTGTCATCTGGAAACACGACTTTTCTTTAGTATTGATGCGTTTTTCAAATGAGCAAATTATTCTTATTCTTTGCTCATTTTGTTAAATGAGCGAATTGTTCTTTGCTCATTTTTCCAAATGAGCAAAGAATAAAATGCTTTCTGCTAAGATGTTTTACATTATCTATTCTATTCTTCTGCTTCCTGCTTCACCCTCCTCCCTGCATTTATATTTTTTAAAATTTTCTTGTTGCTTTATTTTTTCTATTTTATTTCTTACAGGTGATAATCATAGAAAAAATTCGTGTGAAGTACACCCTGTCAATAATTTCAAGTGAAGTAAACACAATTCAGTCCGTTAAAGAAATTCCTCGGAAGAAGAAAAAGCAGAAAATAGTTTCTGTTAAGGCCGAAGAAGAAAAGGCTGAAAGAGCAAAGAAGAAAAGGTTGAAGAAAGCTACTTGTTAGTGAAACCTCAGTATTTTACTTGGTAGTGTTGATTTAGATACTTGGCGGTGTTGATTTGGCTTTCTAGGTTTAGGGAAGTAGAGAAAGAATGATTTTGTCAACCTGTAAGTAGTTTAGTAGTGTTGAATTGAATCGAAATTAGATACTTAGTTTGAATCGAAATTAGATCTTTGTTAGTCTTTGAATGATGTAAAAATGGTGGTTATATTTGAATCGAAATTGGATATTTTGTGGTGAATTTTGTGGTGGTTATATAAATCAAAATTGAATTTTTTTTAGTTTTTACTTCAAATACTTTGTCATTTATACCTAGCGTTTATTTGAAATATTTGCTCATTTGACAAATGAGAAACGAACTATTTGCCCATTTGACAAATGAGTAAAGAAATATTTGCTCATTTGTCAAGTAAGCAAATAATTGATTGCTCATTTCACAAATGAGCAAAGAAATGCTTGTTGATTTAATGAATGCTTAAAGAAATGTTTTCTCATTTGACAATCATTTGACAAATGAGCAACTAACTATTTGCTCATTTGACAAATGAGCAACTAAGTTTTTGCTCATTTGTTAAATTAGCAACTAAGTATTTGCTCATTTGACAAATGAGCAACTAACTATTTGCTCATTTGCTAAATGAGCAAAAAATTGATTGCTCATTTCCCAAATGATCAAAGAAATGTTTGCTTATTTTACAAATGAGTAACTAATTATTTTCTTATTTGACAAATGAGCAAACTAATGGTTGCTCATTTCACAAATGAGCAAAGAAATGCTTGCTGATTTAATGAATAATTAAAGAAGTGTTTGCTCATTTGACAAATGAGCAACTAACTCTTTTGCTCATTTGTACAAACTATATGTTCAAAAAATAATAACCAAAGATTCATTTGATTCAATGATAGAATCAATTGCTACAAGTTTATTCAATAGCTAATTTGCTCAACCTCATAACATTCCGATGACTAATGAAATCAATCTCATAATGAACAAGACAGTCCTACATGTTTAAGAAAAATTGATTGCTCATGTGAAATGAGAAAATAAGCAAATAATTGATTCTGTTAAGAAATATAAAATTAACAAAATTTCAACAAAATTAAAAACACAAAATTTCTATATGTTCGATAAATCATGAGGGAATGTGCTAAAAATATTAAATCTTATATCTATATAAAAGTATCATTACACTCTTTTTGGACAATTTCTAATATCAAGATGACTCAATTCACCACAACCTCTGCATAATCTCTTCTTTTTCTAGTTTTGTTCTACAACCTTTTCTTTTTCTCCCGTTAGCCTTTTTGCACTTCTACCTTTTATTTCAACATTTGACACATCAATCTCAGTCCCTTTCTTTTTTGAAGTCTCTTCATTTGATTCATGAACTCCAGTCCCTTTATTCTTTGAAATTTTTGGAGGTTTGACAATTATTTCAGTTGGCACACTAGCTCCAATCAATAGCTTAATGTCTTGTTCTTTGTTTTTTGCACTTCCAGCTGTTGTTTCATTATTTCTTGCAATCCTCTTAGCTTCCAAATCCTTCTTAATCCTTGAAGGGTGGCAGGAGCAGTTGAGGAGCGGTAGCAGGGGGGCAGATAAGATAAAAAAGGTATCAATTGTATTTGCTCTTTGACAAATGAGCAAATAATTATTATCTAGGAAGCACAACCCAACAAAACAAACTATCCTAGCAACAACAACAAGAACGCAACAATGATACTCAAAATTAAAATAAGAAAACAAGAACGATCATACCACAACAACAGAGCTTTGGAATTCGATAATAAATCAAAAGTAAATTCAAAACTAAACATGAACATGGAACACAACTTATTTTTCTTATTTTGCTTATTTGCTCATTTTAATATTTGCTCATTTTTTTTTTTGTATTAGCTCATTTTAAGTTTTTGCTCAATCTTCAAATTATGCCTACACATATCTTAATATTTTCTCTCTGCATCAGATCTAATGTCAAAACACATTAGAAGACAAACAGAAGAGCACATAAAGCCACAGACAGATATTAAATCCTCATTATGATCTCACAAAACAGAAAACTAGCACCAAAAGGAACTAAGGGTACCGCAACACCAGCTCCAATGCTCCATGGCATGAAGTTCAAAGAAAGAAGGGCAACCATATAGCACATCAAAATAGAGAGCATGTCAAGATAAAATGAGCAAAAAACAATAATTGTTAAATTACAATAGCAAAAACACCCGAGCAAAGCAAGAAATAACACAAAGTTTTGTGCATTAATTAATGATTGATATACAAAAATGATAGCAAAAACTAGATGATTTGAAAAGGAGTAAAACTTGATAATGCAACCCTTCACTATGATTTGCAAAACCCAGCATATGTAGCATTCAATTTAACCTGATGTATCAACATCCTAAACAACTAATCACAACAACACCGTAGCTAAAACCAAGCATTATCCAAAAAATTCATAAGATACACCCAATTTTTTTCCCTCTCTTGAAGAATGTGTATTGAATAAATCCTAACATTTGACTATTCCAAACATCAAGAACCAAAAATAATATAGTAACAATCAATACAACCATAAAAAAGGAACTAAAAGAAACAAAACATTCTCAATACCTCGTGTCAATTGCTTCGGACTACACTGTCAGTTGCTCATTTTAAGTTTATTTTGCTCATTTTAATTCTGTTTGCTCATGATAAATTTTCTAGGACATATTTAGGTTTGCTCATTTTCAAATTTTTTGCTCATTTTATAATTTTTTTAAGTTAAAATGATTAAGAACATTCAATTGGAAAAAATAAGAACATAAAAAGAGCATTCAATTGAAAATTTATATCGTTAATTTCAAATGATTTGACCAAAAATTACAAAATAAGAATATTCAATTGGAAATTTCACAACATGAATAACAAATTTTAAAGAAATTCAAAAGTAAATTCGAAAATTATTAGAACATGGAATTCGATAATAAATCAAAAGTAAATTCGAAAATCATCAGATTATTGAATTCGATAATTTCAACAAAAATTCAAAAGTAAATTCGAAAATTATCAGAACATGATTCGAAAATTATCAGAACAATAAATTCGAAAATTCTCCTAGAATATAATGATAAATATCAAATACTAAGATTAACATGCAATTCAATAAGATTAGACGACTGACATCATTGAATTTTAACAAAAATAATCCAAAATTGAAAATAATTAGAACTGAACAATTGGAAATTTTAACGAAAATAATCTAAAATTTAGAGAATGAACAAACCTCAATAATCGATGGAAATTGTGTACTTGTGAACAAGCTAAGAAGAGGAGAAAGAAATTGTCGAGGTTGAGTTTTTAATTATACGCCAATGATGAAGCTTCGTGGTGGAGAGAGAAGACAATTGAGCGTGGTGGAGAAAGACAATTAAGCGTGGTTTTTAGGAGGTTTATATCATTAATCTCAGCTGTTGGATTTAATACAATCTAACGGCTGAGATTTGTTCTCACATAAGGGATGAGTTCTCACATAGATGGTGGTTCTTACCGGATCCCGACCCTATATATATATATATATATATATATATATATATATATATATATGTGTGTGTGTGTGTGTGTGTACGTGCGTGTGTATCAATTAGCTAGCTTTGCAATGTTTTACTAGGCTTATCCATAAGTGGTGAGCTACCGCCTACCGGTGACAATTCTAAAAGATATATATTTGTTTGCCAATTCTGGGTTAACAAGTCTTTGATCTTAGGCAGCAATGAGCTAGTCTAAGAGCTAGGGCAATGAATCTCAGTTGACGGGACTTAGATTTGTAAGTCTTAAATTATCGTGAGTCTAATCAAACACGTGATGAACTCGTCTCACCCAAACTTTTACTTGTTAACCTATTGTGTTACATAATAGATAGATAACTCTTTAAAACTTTATTTATTCCCATTAGTATGTACCCTAGCTACTACCTATGTATGCTTAGTAAAATTACTGTAGTAAATCCATTTATACTTCAAATAATAATAAAATAAATCATCCCAAATAAGTGGTGTACGTCTATCCATAATATTATGAGCACCTTATTATCATGTCAAAATCAACTAAATCTTATCTTAGTTTGAGAATAACTTGTAAACATAAACCATATTGGATTGCCTATCTTGTCTCTAGTTGATCAAATCCAAATTGAGCTTCTTGATGAAGTTAATTGGAAAAATGCGTATAATTTGACCCAAAAGAATGTTTTAACAAGTTTGGCGACCAAGGAGAGTTAAATTAATTAGTTAAGCTTATCAGATGGTTAATTAAGGAACACGTTTTCTAGTTTTGTTGATTTAGGGGAATTTAAACCTATCAAATTGGATCAAGTTGTTTAGAAAATTGTTAGCATGGGCTAATTAGAATTGGTACGTAAGGAGTTTATAGGAACAAGAAATCGAAACAAGACTATTTAAGAAATGTATAACTTTAAATAATAGAAAAGGATTTTTTTTTATTGGTGTACAAGTTAGATACTACGATTATTGCATATCATGCTGCTCTCTTATGATACTTGAATCACAAGTATCTATTTCGTTAAATTTTGTTGTAGATTTTCTCAACTTCATTTATGAACAAAAATCTTTAAATTATATAGATGATTTAGTGACGTTGATGTGTTGTGTGCTAAATCTAGTTGTGTACGCAAGATTTGTTTTCAATTTTTTTTAGGCAAAATTAGCCTCAATAGCATCAACTATAGGTTGGGTGCAAAAAATAGCACAACCTTGATTAGGTGTACTCTACATCACAAACTATTAAGTTTGGTGCAGAAAATGCCATAAATGATATCGAAGACCGAAAATTCTACCGGAAAAGTATATTTTTAACCAATTTCACCCTTTTTAAAAATTTTCTCTCACCTATATAATTAATTTACTGTGCTAAGAACTTATTGCCCCCTTTATTATAATTCACCCATTAACCCCCCAATTAGTAAATATTAATCCTAAAATCCTTTGCAATCAACTGGCATAAGACATTCTTTAAATTGTACTTTGGTAAATTATGAAACTCGAATTCTACCTCTGTGTTGAATACATACATGTATTTGGTTACTTTTTTTTTTTTTTTTTTTTTTTTCATAATATTATGAAATTAGGGCATCCTTTGGTGTTATGATGATTAGTTGAAAATGATGTGTTGTTTGGATGAATTTGTAAAATTTGTGTCGTGAGATTTAGATTTATATGACACTAGAAAACTTTATTTTGCCAAAC